CCAGACATCACCGGCAACAACGTCGCCTATGGGCACAAACCCACCTTCGCTGGACCAGACAGGACTGGCAAAAAGTGGTCTTCACTGATGAGTCACGGTTTTGTCTCACCAGGCAGGGGTGATGGTCGGATTTGCGTTTATCGTCGATGGAATGTGCGTTACACCGAGGCCTGTACTCTGGAGCGGGATCGATTTGGAGGTGGAGAGTCCGTCATGGTCTGGGGCGGTGTTGCACAGCATCATCGGACTGAGCTTGTTGCCATTGCAGGCAATCTCAACGCTGTGCATTACAGGGAAGACATCCTCTTGACTCATCTGGTACCTTTCCTGCAGGCTTATCCTGACATGACCCTCCAGCATGACAATGCCACCAGCCATACTGCTCGTTCTGTGCGTGATTTCCTGCAAGACAGGAATGTCAGTGTTCTGCCATGGCCAGCGAAGAGCCCGGATCTCAATCCCATTGAGCACGTCTGGAGGAGATGCACTGCAGCACTTAATGCAGCTGGTGGCCACACCAGATACTGACTGTTACTTTTGATTTTGACCCCCCTTTGTTCAGGGACACATTATTCCCTTTCTGTTTGTCTGTGGAACTTGTTCAGTTTATGTCTCAGTTGTTGAATCTTGTTATGTTCATACAAATATTTACACATGTTAAGTTTGCTGAAAATAAACGCAGTTGACAGTGAGAGGACATTTCTTTTTTTGCTGAGTTTACATATGAGATGAGTAAAGCAGTATGTAAACATTATTAAAGTGACTAGTGTTACATTATTAAAGTGGTCAGTGATTTCATGGCTATGTATATAGGGCAGCAGCCTCTAAGGTGCAGGGTTGAATAGCCGGGTGGTATCCGGCTAGTGATGGCTATTTAACAGTCTGATGGCCTTGAGATAGAAGCTGTTTTTCAGTCTCTCAGTCCCAGCTTTGATGCACCTGTACTGACCTCGCCTTCTGGAGGATTTTATTTTATTTGACCTTTATTTAACTAGGCAAGTCAGTTAAGAACAAATTCTTATTTACAATGACGGCCTACACCGGCCAAACCCGGACGACGCTGGGCCAATTGTGCGCCACCCTATGGGACTCCCAATCACAGCCGGTTGTGATACAGCCTGGAATCGAACCAGGGGGTCTGTAGTGACGCCTCAAGCACTGAGATGCAGTGCCTTAGACCACTGCGCCACCCGGGAGGCTAGTTAAGGACCCTTCAATTTGCTTACGACCCCAATAGATCCACAGACGATACAATCGCCATCGCACAGCGGGGTGAACAGGCCGTGGCTCGGGTGTTTGATGTCCTTGAAGATCTTTTTGGCCTTCCTGTGACATCGGGTTCTGTAGGTGTCCTGGAGGGCAGGCAGTGTGCCTCCGGTGATGCGTTGGGCAGACCGTACCACCCTCTGGAGAGCCCTGTGGTTGCGGGCGGTGGTGTTGCCGTACCAGGCGGTGATACAGTCCGACAGGATGCTCTCAATTGTGCATCTGTAAAAGTTGCTGAGGGCCTTAGGGGCCAAGACAAATTTCTTCAGCCTCCTGAGGTTGAAAAGGCGCTGTTGAGCCTTCTTCACCACACTGTCTGTGTGGGTGTACCATTTCAGATCATCAGTGATGTGTACGCAGAGAAACTTAAATCTATCCACCTTCTCTACTGCGGTCCCATTGATGTGGATAGGGGCGTGCTCCCTCTGCTGTTTCCTGAAGTCCACAATCAGCTCCTTCGTGTTGTTGACGTTGAGGGAGAGGTTATTTTCCTGGCACCACTCCGCCAGGGCCCTCCCCTCCTCCCTGTAGGCTGTCTCGTCATTGTTGGTAATCAGGCCTACTACTGTTGTGTCGTCTGCAAACTTGAAGATTGAGTTGGAGGTGTGGGTGTGGGTGGCCACCTTCACCACCTGGGGGCGGTCCATCAGGAAGTCCAGGACCCAGTTGCACATGACGGGATTCAGACCCAGGGCCCCGAGCTTAATGATGAGCTTGGAGGGTACTATGGTGTTGAAAGCTGAGCTATAGTCAATGAACAGCATTCTGACATAGGTAGTCCTCTTGTCCAGATAGGATAGGGCACTGTGCTGTGTGATGGCGATTGCATCGTCTGTGGATCTATTGTGGCGGTAAGCAAATTGAAGTGGGTCTAGGGTGTCATTAGGTGGAGGTGATATGATCCTTAACTAGCCTCTCAAAGCACTTCATGATGACAGAAGTGAGTACTTTGGGCAGATAGTCATTTAGTTCAGTTACCTTTGCTTTCTTGGGTACAGGAACAATGGTGGACATCTTGAAGAAAGTGGGGACAGCAGACTGGGATAGGGAGAGATTGAATATGTCCGTAAACACTCCAGCCAGCTGGTCTGTACATGCTCTGAAGACGCTGCTAGGGATGTCGTCTGGGCTGGCAGCCTTGCGAGGGTTAGTACGCTTAAACATCTTACTCACGTCGGCCACGGAGAACGAGAGCTCACAGTCCTTGGGAGCGGGCCGCGTCGGTGGCACTGTGTTATCCTCAAAACTGGCAAAGAAGATGTTTAGCTTGTCTGGGAGCAAGACGTTGTTGTCCGCGACGTGGCTGCTTTTCCCTTTGTAATCCGTGATTGTCTGTAGACCCTGTCACATACATCTTCTGTCTGTGCCGTTTAATTGCGACTCCACTTTGTCTCTGTACTGACGTTTTGCCTGTTTGATTGCCTTATGGAGGGTATAACTACACTGTTTATATTCAACCATATTCCCAGTAACCTTGCCATGGTTAAATGCGGTGGTTCGCACATTCACTTTTGCGCGAATGCTGCCATCTATCCACGGTTTCTGGTTTGGGTAGGTTTTAATATACACCGTGGGAACAACATCCCCTATACACTTCCTGATGAACTCAGTCACCATGTCCGTGTAAACGTCAATTTTATTCTCTGAGGCTATCCGGAACATATCCCAGTCCGTGTGATCAAAACAATCTTGATGCATGGATTCCGATTGGTCAGACCAGCGTTGAATAGACCTTAGCACAGGTACTTCCTGTTTGAGTAAGGGAGGAACAAAATGGAGTCATGATCCGATTTGCCGAAGGAAGGGCGGGGGAGGGCCTTGTTGGCTTCTCGAAAAGGCAAGAGGCATTGATCTAATGTTTTTCCTATTTTTACCATTACGCACGCTCTCACTGTGTAGCCTACTCCAAGTAGGCCAGAGTAGACTGATAAGACTGCTTTGATTCGATGGACTGATATAGGGTACATACCATTTTAAGATTATAATATAATTAGAATGGATCAATACAATAGAATGGCCTGCCCTGTTCTTCATTAACAATTGGTGATTACATAATTAGGCATCATTCGCTTCCCCTCGCTCATCAAATCATCGTTTTCCCCATCATACTTTACTTAATTAATTTAATCTGTTGTTATATGTGTGAAATTAGTTTCGGTATAGTTTAGGTTCAGTTTTGAGGCAAAACACATTCAAAAAATGACACACACTCCTAAAACGTGTTATAAATCCAGTTCTGTTTGTGATATTAAGCTTCTAACACCGACAGTGTGTTATATAGACTTATTTAGGAAAGGTCAAGGACGGAGGGGGGCATTACTTTAAAAAATGGCAGTGAAAATGACTGCTTTTGCGGTTGAAGTGTTAAAGCTGACAGGTATAATGGTTTCATTACTTGCTATGAGCCTTTAAAATGTCTTATTATAAGCCTTATAATATGTTATGTCTCTCTATGTAGCAAAATCCATGGCATCAACTTGGGTTCTTGTGTGTGTGTGTGTATGTGTGTGTGTTCGATCATGCTTCTGTACCTGCCCGCGTATTTGTGTGCGTTTGTGCACGTGCATCTTTGTAACCCTACCAGAGAGCCTACCAGAGATGGGGAAGATCTCACAGATGTAGACGCGGAGCAGGCGCAGGCAGCAGGTCCCTACAAACCGCAGGCGCTCCAGGTCCAGCAGGGTGGCCGTGTACTGGAAGCCTTTCAGGCCCCTCAGTTCCTCCACCCCCAGCACCAGGGTGGTCCAGCTCCAGTGGAGGATCCTCAGCAGGGACTCGAAACACTCCTAAAGGGAGAGGAGGGGTTGACAACGTTGCTGCATGTTTATTACATGTTTACAAAAGCTTTACAACCTATTCATTAAATATTTACTAGCTACATCCTAACAACTACTGTATTACACTCCAGGGTGATGTTCATTAGGGAATGCAATGGAAAATGTTTTAAAACATTTTGCAACTGAAAACTAAAATGAGTGTTTCTTATTGGTCCTCTGTAGCTCAGCTGGTAGAGCACGGCGCTTGTAACGCCAAGGTAGTGGGTTCAATCCCCGGGACCACCCATACACAAAAAAATAAATAAAAGTATGCACGCATGACTGTAAGTCGCTTTGGATAAAAGCGTCTGCTAAATGGCATATTATTATTATATTATAAGTCCAGGTAGTCCCTCCCTGTTTAAGTACATTTTATTATGTTTGGTGTCTGATGAACACAATCCAGGAGTTAAATTGGTTTCAATAGCTAACTCCTAAATCAGACAGGCCTGTGTGTTGATTCTGGGGTCTCTGCGGCCTGCCTGGGAACAAGTCTAGCTAGGGGAAACGCAGGCGTACGGTATGTACCACTGAGACAGTCCGGGCGAAGGAGCGTTTGAGGATGTGAACCGGCTCACTGGTCTGCTGTTTCCCTTTGGCTGCTTTGCCATCGTTCGACGGAAGCCTGGAGTAGTAAAACAACCACATTACAATCCCATTACAAAGCTGGTTACTTGAAGTTCATCAATATACATTTCACGGGTCACTATTCAGACAACATGAGGAAAATGATGGTGCCAACAGATAGTGTCGCTCTGCTTCTAACGCCTAAGCAACTTTGCTGTATTCACAAGCATTTTGCTACACCCGCAATAACATCTGCTAAATATGTGTATGTGACCAATACAATTTTATTTTATTTGAGTGTAGGAAAATGACTTGCCTGTACAAGAGCTGAGGTATTTGACCTGCGTTCACGTCGGTACCGTTGTTTGACTTCTTGGAGCTCTTGAACTGAAAGACCACACTGCAAAAGGGTGTAGGTCAACATTATTCACAATGACAATGAGGATATATTTTGAAGTAATTATATTTCTACAGGCTACAATAGTTACCTGTCATCTGTGGTGATGGTGGCCTGTCCGTGGGAGCCACAGTCTGAGCTGGGTCCAGACACCCGGGCCCAGGCCACATACCACCAGCCTAGCTGCAGCAGCACCGGTTCGTCAAACATCATGGCGTACTTCTCCCTGGCAGCGCAGTCATAGGCCAGGACGTCAGTCTCAGCCAGGAGGTCCCCATCCGTCTCATGGTCTCCACCATCAGGCCCCAGCTCAAACAACTGCACAGTAACAACACAGTCAGCAACGACACACAACAGTCAACCTTACCAGCAGAACTTGATTAGACTTCTATTCGGACTGTGGCATGATTTAACCTATTGGCTAATTTGCTCAATATCACAGAACCTAGCACTATAAAGGTTAAATTAATACATTGATTAATAAATAAATAAATAAACAGTTGATGCTAGTATACCTCCTAACCTTGATATTTGAAGTGTACTCAAACAACTGAGATTACATAGGTAACATAATAGCCTAACATAGGTTAAATATACAGGTACTGTAACTACCCAAATAAAGGAAACACTTTTGTCAGGGTTCGTACGGACAGTGGCAAGTCAAATTCAAGGACTTTCAAGTACTTTTTCAAGTACTAATACATATTTTCAAGGACCATCAATTTGTAATAGTTCATATTATGCAATTGTTTTGAGTCGCCACCAGATGGCAGTATATCGCCACAACCTCATGAGAAAAGAAATATAAAAAACGAAGTATTTATCACTACCTTACAAGTTCTACTCCATAATACGTTGTTTCACTACTTATTTACTACATACATGAGTGGTAAGTCAGTACTGATCATTTTGTAATTTGAGTATTGATGAGCAGATTTTGAGACGTGCCTACTGGTGAACACACATTTCCTATTTGCATTACAACACAATTCCAGCTAAATTACTGTTTTTATTGGGCATTTGGGAAATTTCTACTTAATAGCTATGAAAAAGCTTCTTGCTTCTGACTGGCAGCTTTAGTGTTGGTGGTCGTGAGAAGGGCGGATGGGCTGTGTGAGGAAAATGGGCACCAAAACGGCAGGAGCACGGCTGACCCTTGATAAAGCGGAATATCGCGGGCGCCCGTGAATGAGGCGATTGGCAAAAAAGCTCTAGAGGTTGTTGCAGAGAAAAAGGCACATAATGTAGAACTGGTGCCAGCGCAAGATGCAGCGTTGTGTCTTTCCTACTTCATGGCCGATTCACCCATGCTCGCAATGTCAGTCTGACAAATGTTTTGCTCCTTACACCTTGTGTGTTGGTTCGGTCCAATGATGTAGTGGTAAAACAAGTGGGTAAACTATGCTGAACAAAAATGTAAAACGCAACATGTAAAGTGGTTGGGCTCCCGAGTGGTGCAGCGGTCTAAGGCACTGCATCTCAGTGCTAGAGGCGTCATTACAGACCCTGGTTTGATTCAAGGCTGTATCACAATCCGGCCGTGATTGGGAGTCCCATATGGCGGCGCACAATTGGCCCAGCGTAGTCCGAATTTGGCTGGGGTAGGCCGTCATTGTAAATACATTTTTGTTAACTGACTTGCCTAGTTAAATAAAGGTTAAATAAAAAATACAAATGAGCTGAAATAGAAGATCAACAAAATGTTCCATACAAACTTTTATATAATATTTGTCATAAACATATTTTATCATTTTCTGTTCTCCTCATTTTAATTCAAGTACTTCAGAAAAAGTCTTATTTTCAAGGTATTCCAGTACTTGAATTTCAGAGTGCCAAATTCAAGTACTTTAAACACCTTGTATTTGTATTTATTAGGGATACCATTAGCTGCTGCCAAGGCAGCAACTACTTTTAATGGGGAACAAACACATTAAAGGCACTTACATTACACATAAAACAAAACATAAAACAGTATTCTTATATACAGTGAGGGAAAAAAGTATTTGATACCCTGCTGATTGTGTACGTTTGCCCACTGACAGAGAAATGATCAGTCTATAATTTGAATGGTAGGTTTATTTGAACAGTGAGAGACAGAATAACAACAAATACATCCAGAAAAACGCATGTCAAAAATGTTATAAATTGATTTGCATTTTAATGAGGGAAATAAGTATTTGACCCCCTCTCAATCAGAAAGATTTCTGGCTCCCAGGTGTCTTTTATACAGGTAATGGTCTGAGATTAGGAGTACACTCTTAAAGGGAGTGCTCCTAATCTCAGCTTGTTACCTGTATAAAAGACACCTGTCCACAGAAGCAATCAATCAATCAGATTCCAAACTCTCCACCATGGCCAAGACCAAAGAGCTCTCCAAGGATATCAGGGACAAGATTGTAGACCTACACAAGGCTGGAATGGGCTACAAGACCATCGCCAAGCAGCTTGGTGAGAAGGTGACAACAGTTGGTGCGATTATTCGCAAATGGAAGAAACACAAAATAACTGTCAATCTCCCTCGGCCTGGGGCTCCATGCAAGATCTCACCTCGTGGAGTTGCAATGATCATGAGAACGGTGAGGAATCAGCCCAGAACTACACGGGAGGATCTTGTCAATGATCTCAAGGCAGCTGGGACCATAGTGACCAAGAAAACAATTGGTAACACACTACGCCGTGAAGGACTGAAATCTTGCAGTGCCCGCAAGGTCCCCCTGCTCAAGAAAGAACATATACAGGTCCGTCTGAAGTTTGTCAATGAACATCTGAAAGATTCAGAGGAGAACTGGGTGAAAGTGTTGTGGTCAGATGAGACCAAAATTGAGCTCTTTGGCATCAACTCAACTCGCTGTGTTTGGAGGAGGAGGAATGCTGCCTATGACCCCAAGAACACCCTCCCCACCGTCAAACATGGAGGTGGAAACATTATGCTTTGGGGGTGTTTTTCTGCTAAGGAAATAGGACAACTTCACCGCATCAAAAGGACGATGGACGGCGCCATGTACCGTCAAATCTCCCAAGCCAGTCTCCAGACCTTAATCCCATAGAAAATGTGTGGAGGGAGCTGAAGGTTCGAGTTGCCAAACGTCAGCCTCGAAACCTTAATGACTTGGTCCTCTGTAGCTCAGCTGGTAGAGCACGGCGCTTGTAACGCCAAGGTAGTGGGCATATTATATATTTATATTATTATATTGGAGAAGATCTGCAAAGAGGAGTGGGACAAAATCCCTCCTGAGATGTGTGCAAACCTGGTGGCCAACTACAAGAAATGTCTGACCTCTTTGATTGCCAACAAGGGTTTTGCCACCAAGTACTAAGTAATGTTTTGCAGAGGGGTCAAATACTTATTTCTCTCATTAAAATGCAAATAAATGTGTAACATTTTTGACATGTGTTTTTCTGGATTTGTTGTTATTCTGTCTCTCACTGTTCAAATAAACCTACCATTAAAATTATAGACTGATCATGTCTTTGTCAGTGGGCAAACGTACAAAATCAGCAGGGGATCAAATACTTTTTTCCCTTACTGTAGTAGAATCAGATTTTAAAAAAATACACCTTATGGAACAGCAGGGCCTGTGAAGAGACACACTTATGCACAGACACACATAAGAAGACACGCACTCTATACACACGTACACATGGATGTGATAGTGGAGTAGTGGCCTGAGGGAACACACTAAATGTATTGGGTAAAGTGTAATGAAATGTAATGTCATGGAATATTTTAAATTGTATATAGCTGCCTTAATGTTGCTGGACCCTAGGAAGAGTAGCTTCTGCCTTGGCATCAGCTAATGGGGATCTTTAATAACTACAAATAATTATGGGAGATTCTGGAGCACCGCCTGAGAGAGCGTTTTCCACCACCATTAACAAAACACCAAATTATGGAATTTCTCTTGGAAGAATGGTGTCACATCCCTCCAATAGAGCTCCAGACACTTGTAGAATCTATGCCAAAGCACATTGAAGCTGTTCTGGCAACTCTGCCGGCTCGTGGTGGCCCAACGCCCTATTAAGACACTTTACGTTGGTGTTTCCTTTATTTTGGCAGTTACCTGTAGATTGGTGATCGATTTTGCGTGTAATTACTGTGTGGCAGCCGTCAGTGCTGTGGGTACTACACATTTGTGGTAAATGGGATAAATTACCGTCCTACAATGTCAAACATGTATAGACCTAGCAAAAAGAGCTAGAGGAAATGCAGTCCATTTGCTAGTGTCCCTGCCACTGACCTTGATCTTAGCGGTGTACTCCCCACGGCCCCCGAACAGGCCCAGTCCCCCCAGCAGGATGTCAGAGTCAGCACAGAAGCGGATGGCCTCCACCGAGTGGGCCGAGTAACCCCAGCCACCCCCGTGACCTATGACATTACACATGAAGTTGCGATGACTCAGGCTCTGCAGCATCATCATCTGTGCTCATAACAATACAATGAGGTTAGTTTTACTAGAAGTGCCCAGTCACTGCAATATGATATAGTGGAACACAAGGTACTCTGCTGTTGAAATACTTTTGAATGCATACTTGAATTATAATATGGGTAATACTTTTTGGTAGTAATCCTTAAATTAAATAAGAGCCTGAATTGGCACTTTTTTTTTTATGAATCACTGGTGATAAAGTATATATATATAAAGTATATATATAATGTTGTCTCTGGCTGGAATATCATGTCATAAATCAATCAAACCAAAATCAGGAAAAAGGGATATGAGAAATAGCTGTGAGTGTGACAAATACTCTAAACAGGGACCATCAACTAGACTCAGCAGAGTGTCGATTTTCTGTTGAGCGGATGGTCGGGGGGCCGGAATTGGTGATGGCTGATTTCCTGGTGTTTATAGAGTATTTTATGTCCAACAATTAAATTGTTTAAAAATACAAGTTTACAAAGTGTTTATTTTTTTTTTGGGGGGGGGGTTCCAAAAATGTTGGGGGCCAAATGAAACCACCCGCGGGCCAAATTCAACCCACAGGCCACCAGTTAGGGAACCCTGCTGTAGAAGATGTGAACTGAAAACCAGGATTTCCTGTTGGTCATTGGAAAAAATCCCATGAGGAACTGAGTGTGTGGACTCACTCTCGAAGCGGTTGACCACACTGTACTCCTCCTTGGAGTACACCTTCATAACGGCCTGAGTCTCCTCCTCTGTGCTGGCCACGCACATCTTCAGCTCTTGCATGGCCGCCAGCGTATCCAGGCAACCTGCTCACAACACACACACAGGGCACTTCTTGTTAGCGCTTAACATGGTCTGTTTTTACTGTGCTTGGCAGTACTGCTGTAAAAGCACTGTGCTAAAATGGTACAATGTGCTAAAGTAGTACAGAATGATAAATGTTTTCTTATAGCTAGGCCTTTCTGCAAGTACAGAGATGTATAATCTCCTCATACCCTGAGATTAAAGAACTAAGATTTAACACTAACATTAATTAAATATGCTTTTAGTAGCTGTCAAAAGAAAATGCTTTCAAAAGAAAGTGCTTCAGCGTAAAGAGGAGAGAGGGAGAGAGAGAGAGCGAGAGAGGAAGTGAGAGAGACAATGACAGCAGAGTGACAAGTCAGGCACTACTAGTATCAAGCAATAGTGGCATTGATTAGGGATGGGCACGATTATCTGAATATTCGAATATCCGAACAGATGTTAGTATTTGAATAATTGCGAGAGTATTCATTTTTGAAGGGGAAATATCTTATGTTTCACCGAGTCGTGGCTGAACGACGACACGGATAATATAGAGCTGGCTGGGCATCGGCAGGACAGAAAAGTTACGTCTGGTAAGACGAGGGGTGGGGGTGTGTGTCTTTTTGTCAATAACAGCTTGTACGCAATGTCAAATATTAAATAAGTCTCGAGGTATTGCTCGCTTGAGGTAGAGTACTTCATGATAAGCTGTAGACCACACTATCTACCAAGAGAGTTTTCATCTATATTATTCGTAGCCGTTTCTTTACTACCACAAACCAATGCTGGCACTAAGACAGCACACAACGAGCTGTATAAGGCCATAAGAAAATGCTCATCCAGAAGCTGCGCTCCTAGTGGACGGGGACTTTAATGCAAGCAAACTTAAATCCGTTTTACCTCATTTCTACCAGCATGTCACGTGTGCAACCAGAGGGAAAAAACAACAACTCTAGACCACCTTTACTACACACACAGAGACATATACAAAGCTCTGCCTCGCCCTACATTTGGCAAATCTGACCATAATTCTATCCTCCTGATTCCTGCTTACAAGCAAAAACTAAAGCAGGAAGTACCAGTGACTCGCTCAATACGGAAGTGGTGAGATGACGCGGATGCTACGCTACAGGACTGTTCCGCTAGCACAGACTGGAATATGTTCCGGGATTCATCCAATGGCATTGAGCAGTATACCACCTCAGTCACCGGCATCATCAATAAGTGCATCGACGACGTCGTCCCCAAAGTGACCGTGCGTACATATCTCAACTAGGGCTGTTGCGGTGACCATATTACCGCCACACCGGCAGTCACGAGTCATGAAGACAGTCAAATTCCACGTGACCGTTTAGTCACGGTAATTAGACATCTCCAAGCTCTGATGCTGCTGATGGTCATTAGTAGCCTACAAAACTTGCTAACTGCCTGGTACACAGCACTCTATTGTCCCTCTAATCACTCTGACATCAATGCAAATGTATTCGAAAATATAGTCAAACACTTAATGAGAGCCCATGAGCTCATGTTGCGCAACATTTCAATAGGCTATGCTGTTGCACGAGAAAACAGAGTGATGGCCTCTACTGAAAAGAGGAAGATCAGCTTTCCATAGGCTAGGCCTACTATATTTATTTTTCAACTTTCCTAATATTAAGCACATTGCTTATATTTACAACAGGAGTATAGCCTACCTGGCTGGCATGAAAATAAACCAAGGAGAAAAGTGTCCTCCATTCGCTATTTAAGTGCATAGATTACATGTATTTCGATACAGGTGCATGACAATGATACATTCTAAATCAAAACAAATTTCACATACAGTACCAGTCAAAAGTTTGGACACACGTACTCATTCAAGGTTTTTTTCTTTATTTTTACTATTTTCTACATTGTAGAATAATAGTGAAGACATCAAATCTATGAAATAACACATATGGAATCATGTAGTAAACAAAAAAGTGTTAAACAAATCAAAACATATTTTAGATTTTAGATTCTTCGAAGTAGCCACCCTTTGCCTTGATGATAGCTTTGTACACATTTGGCATTCTCTCAATCAGCTTCACCCGGAATGCTTTTCCAACAGTCTTGAAGGAGTTCCCACATATGCTAAGCACTTGTTGGCTGCTTTTCCTTCACTCTGCGGTCCAACTCATCCCAAAACATCTCAATTGGGTTGAGGTCGGGTGATTGTGGAGGCTAGGTCATCTGATGCAGCACTCCATCACTCTCCTTCTTGGTCAAATAGCCCTTACACTGCCTGGAGGTGTGTTGGGTCATTGTCCTGTTGAAAAACAAATGATAGTCCCACTAATCGCAAATCAGAAGGGATGGCGTATCTCTGCAGAATGCTGTGGTAGCCAGGCTGGTTAAGTGTGCTTTGAATTCTAAATAAATCACTGACACCAGCAAATCACCCCCACACCTCCATGCTTCACGGTGGGAACCACACTTGCAGAGATAATCCGTTCACCCACTCTGTGTCTCACAAAGACACGGCGGTTGGAACCAAAACTCTCAAATTTGGACTCATCAGACCAAAGGACACATTTCCACAGGTCTAATGTCCATTGCTCGTGTTTCTTGGCCCAAGCAAGTCTCTTCTTCTTTTCTTACTGGTGTCCTTTAGTAGTGGTTTCTTTGCATCAAATCGACCATGAAGGCCGATTTACGCAGTCTCCTCTGAACAGTTGATGTTGAGATGTGTCTGTTACATGAACTCTGTGAAGCATTTATTTGGTCTGCAATCTGCAGTTAACTCTAATGAACTTATCCTCTGCAGCAGAGGTAACTCTGGGTCTTCCTTTCCTGTGGCGGTCCTCATGAAAGCCAGTTTCATCATAGCGCTTGATGGTTTTTGCGACTGCACTTGAAGAAACTTTCAAAGGTCTTGAAATGTTCCGTATTGACTGACATTCATGTCTTAAAGTAATGATGGACTATCGTTTATCTTTGCTTATTTGAGCTGTTCCACAAATTAACTTTTAACAAGGCACACCTATTAATTGAAATGCATTCCAGGTGACTACCAAATGAAGCTGGTTAAGAGAATGCCAAGAGTGTGCAAAGCTGTCATCAAGGCAAAGGGTGGATACTTTGAAGAATCTCACATTTCAAATATATGTATATTTGTTTAACACTTTTTTGGTTACTACATGATTCCATATGTGTTAATTCATAGTTTTGATGTCTTCACTATTATTCTACAATGTAGAAAATATAAAAAATAAAGAAAAACCCTTGAATGAGTAAGTGTGTCGAAACTTTTGACTGGTACCCCTATATTATTTAGTATATGTAAAGACAAGATTAAATCAAGAATAGTCTGATGGGTGACAATATTAGCGTATCACTTGTGAATTATATATTATCACTTGTGAATGATGCCCAGCATAAGAAACCATGCCTTTCTTTTGGCTACTTTTTTTAATCATAGTCGCACACCTCATGTAGCCTAGCCCATAGGCCTATATGTTTTAATAAGATTTGTATCACAATTAAAGTGGCCAAATAACTTATTAAAAGTAAGCACTTAATCCACTTTACAAGGGGTGCAGAGCCTAACTTGCATACATAAGCAGCGCGTGAGTTTCAAGTTTGGGGAAGAGATTTTTCACCATAAAAATGCACCTTTATAATAAAAGCATTACATGCATAATAGCATTTGCGGTCACTTTTGATAATGGTGTTTCCGCTAATGGAACATTTGCGCTTATAGCCTACTACCATGTGTGCATTGCTGCGCTTATAATGTGAAGAAATAGCCGAATAGTTTGTCAACATTTTAAGCTAAACGTTCTGATCTGTTGCGTCAGCCACATTCCGTAAAAAAGGTTTTTTGATGCTAGTGGTTGTATTAATTTGGGATCTATCGCATCCCACAACTGTCCCAGACTATGGAATTTGAATATTTATTTCTCGCACAGAATAGGTCGACCTTTGTACTATGAGGGATAGTAGATTGACATAGGCTAGTGCTTTTGCTGTTCGTTAGGCCTACTCATCTTGTTGGCTGACGAAAAGTAAAAATTGACAATTTTCTTCAATATGCACCAATATGCACCTCAGAATTGGATAAGGTAGTTTGTCCCCGTGTCTGTCTTCACTTGTAGCCTGTGAGAAAGAACAGATCACGTGATGGAGCGCGCAGCACTCAGCGAGAAGGGCACAACGGCCACTGGCCGCAAAAGGCACAGATTTCTTTAGGGTGCATTACGGCCACACAAAGGGGATGCCGTCGTGAAATTCTAGGCATTATCCAGTGACTGATGAAGTGTACAGCCTGCGCAAAAAAACAAAGCAGAGCTCATGCCTTTCAAGCAACTATTTTCAAATCATCATTAGAGTCGCATCATGCAGCCTTACAATGTATTAAAAATGTAAACATATAGCCCAACGTTTGTAGAACAACTAAAGTTACATTAATAACTCTAAATTAAGCATATAGGAATACCTATTTCTTTGTTAACCACTCAACACAGAATAGCCGCATGTGCACACTCCCTCAAATTGTTTGGAGAAAATATCATTTCTATTTTATTCTGCTTTGTTCAATTGTATTCTTTATACTATAAAATAGTGCCATTGAATTATCAGCACCTAACATAAGGACAACTCAGAGCATCCCATTCTGTTCTGAAACATTTTCTTCATATCATGCTTCTATAGAGATGTCTAAAATAAATAATGGATTTATTTTGAAGTTGTAGGTTATATTAAATGGATTTATTATACTTTTTTAAATGTAGATGTTCCAAAGGTCAGCATCAGTGGCTTGTAGGCTACGTGTGGAAGCCAGGAGATGCTAAATGCGTTTATGTTAATTAACGTTAAATTACCGTGAGACCGACAGTTATTTGCTTGACAATCACTGACTGACAACATTTTGTGACTGCCACAGCCCTAATCCCAATCAGAAGCCATGCATTACAGGCAACATCCGCACCGAGCTAAAGGCTAGAGCTGCCGCTTTCAAGGAGTGGGACACTAATCCGGACGCTTATAAGAAATCCCACTAAGCCCTCAGACGAACCATCAAACAGGCAAAGCGTCAATACTGGACTAAGATTGAATCCTACTACACCGGCTCTGACACGCGTCGGATGTGGCAGGGCTTGCAAACTATTATGGACTACAAAGGGAAACCCAGCCACGAGCTGCCCAGTGACACAAGCCTACTAGACGAGCTAAATGTATTTTATGCTCGCTTCGAAGGATGCATGAGAGCACCAGCTGTTCCGGACGACTGTGTGATCACGCTCTCAACACCATAGTGCCCACAAAGCTCATCACTAAGCTAAGGACCCTGGGACTAAACACCTCCCTCTGCAACTGGATCCTGGACTTCCTGACGGGCCGCCCACAGGTGGTAAGGGTAGGTAACAACGCATCTGCCGCGCTGATCCTCAACACTGGGGCCCCTCAGCGGTGCATGCTTAGTCTCCTCCTGTACTCCCTGTTCACCCACGACTGTGTGGCCAAGCACGACTCCAACACCATCATCAAGTTTGCTGACGACACAACAGTGTTAGGCCTGATCAGAGACAACGATGAGACAGCCTATAGGGAGGAGGTCAGAGACCTGGCAGTGTGGTGCCAGGACAACAACATCTCCCTCAATGTGAGCAAGACAAAGGAGATGATCGCGGACTACAGGAAAAGGACAGCCGAACAGAGCCCCATTAACATCAACAGGGATGTAGTGGAGAGGGTAGTTCCTTGGTGTCCACATACCAACAAACTATCATGGTCCAAACACACCAAGACAGTTGTGAAGTGGGCACGACAATACCTTTTCCCCCTCAGGAGACTGAAAAGATTTGGGTCACGAGATCCTCAAAAAGTTCTACAGCTGCACCATCAAGAGCATCCTGACCGGTTGCATCACCGCCTGTTATGGCAACTGCTCGGCATCCGACCGTAAGGCGCTAAAGAGAGTATTGCTTACGGCCCAGTACATCAATGGGGCCAAGCTTTCTGCCATCCAGGATCTATATACTAGGCGGTGTCATAGGAAGGCCCCAAAAATTGTCAAAGACTCCAGTCACCCAAGTCATAGACTGTTCTCTCTGCTACCGCAAAGCAAGAGGTACCGGAGCGCCAAGTCTAGTTCCAAAAGGCTCCTTAACAGCTTCTATTCCCAAGCCATAATATTGCTGAACAATTAATCAAATGGCCACTCAGACTATTTACATTGGACAAGTTCAGGTCGTGCCTCCCCGTTTCAGCCTGCTTGCTTCCGTTTCATTCCTAGTGAACATGACCCCGTACTTGCTACCATATGATTTCTCAGTAAATAACACCAATTACAACAGGTCTGTAATTTAATATCATCATTCTGATTATACCTAGTATGTGCAGGGCTCCGTGGGAGCGGGTGGTTGTGGCGTGGGCGCCGGCGGGCAGTGCCAGCTCTGGGCTGAGGATGCTGCAGCGGGCCTGGAGGTCCGTGGCCGAGGGCACACGGCCGTCGGCTATCACGGCGTTGTAGCACCACATCTCCCTTGACGCCGGCAGAAACCTACAGGTGAGAGGACAGGGATGAGTTGAAAGGTCAAATAGAGGGTATTAAAGGGTGTGTGTGTGTGTGTAAGGTAAAAAAAGTTAGAGCATTCAGATATACAGAGCATTCGGAAAGTATTCAGACCCCTTCCTTTTTTTCACATTTTGTTGCGTTACAGCCTTATTCTAAAATTGATTAAATACAACATTTTCCTCATCAATCTACACAAAATTCCCCATAATGACAAAGCGAAAACCATTTTTTTTTGTGTGTGTGTGTGCAAATAACATAAATATCTTATTTACATAAGTATTCAGAGCCTTTGCTATGAGACTCGAAATTGAGCTCAGGTTCATCCTGTTTCCATTGATCATTTTACATTTACATTTTAGTCATTTAGCAGACACTCTTATCCAGAGCGACTTACAGTTAGTGAGTGCATACATTTTCATCCTTGAGATGTTTCTACAACTTGAATGGAGACCACCTGTGGTAAATTCAATTGATTGGACATGATTTGGAAAGGCACACACCTGTCTATATAAGGTCCCACAGTTGACAGTGCATGTCAGAGCAAAAACCAAGCCATGAGGTCGAAGGAATTGTCCGTAGAGCTCTGAGACAGGATTGTGTCGAGGCACAGGTCTGGGGAAGAATACCAAAATATTTCTGCAGCATTGAAGGTCCCCAAGGACACAGTGGCCTCCATCATTCTTAAATGGAAGAAGTTTGGAACCACCAACTCTTCCTAGAGCTGGCCGCCCGGCCAAACTGAGCCATCGGGGGAGAAGGGCCTTGGTCAGAGAGGTGACCAAGAACCCGCTGGTCACTCTGACAGAGCTCCAGAGTTCCTCTGTGGAGATGGAAGAACATTCTAGAAGGACAACCATCGATGCAGCACTCCACCAATCAGGCCTTTATGGTAGAGTGGCCAGACGGAACCACTCCTCAGTAAAACACAAACGACAGCCTGCTTGGAGTTTGCCAAAAGGCACTTAAAGGACTCGGACCATGAGAAACAAGATTCTCTGGTCGGATTAAGCCAAAATTGAAATATTTGGTCTGAATGCCAAGAGTCACGTCTGGAGGAAACCTGGCACCATCCCTACGGTGAAGCATGGTGGTGGCAGCATCATCCTGTGGGGATGTTTGTCAGCGGAAGGGACTGGGAGACTAGTCAGGATCGAGGGAAAGATGAACGGAGCAAAGTACAGAGAGATCCTAGATGAAAACTTGCTCCAGAACGGTCAGGACCTCAGACTGGGGCAAAGGTTCACCTTCCAACAGGACAACGACCCTAAACACACAGCTAAGATAACGCAGGAGTGGCTTCGGTACAATTCTCTGAATGTCCTTGAGTGGCCCAGCCAGAGCCCGGACTTGAACACGATCGAACATCTCTGGAGAGACCTGAAAATAGCTGTGCAGTGACACACCCCTTCCAACCTGACAGAGCTTGAGAGGATCTGCAGAGAAGAATGGGAGAAGCTCCATAAATACAGGTGTACCAAGCTTGTGGCGTCATACCCAAGAAGACTCGAGGCTGTAATCGCTGGCCAAGGTGCTTCAACAAAGTGCTGAATAAAGGGTCTGAATACTTATGTAAATGTCATATTTCAGATTTTAATTACTTAAAAATCATACAATGTGATTTTCTGGATTTTTGTTTTAGATTCTGTCTCTCACAGTTGAAGTGTACCTATGATAAAAGTTACAGACCTCTACATGCTTTGTAAGTAGGAAAACCTGCAAAATCGGCAGTGTATCAAATACTTGTTCTCCCCACTGTGTGTGTGTGTGTGTGTGTGTGTGTGTGTGTGTGTGTGTGTGTGTGTGTGTGTATATATATATATATATATATATATATATATATATATATATATATATATATATAATAATAATAATAATATGCCATTTAGCAGACGCTTTTATCCAAAGCGACTTACAGTCATGCGTGCATACATTTTTTTTTTTGTGTATGGGTGGTCCCGGGGATCGAACCCACTACCTTGGCGTTACAAGCGCCGTGCTCTACCAGCTGAGCTACAGACACACATATCCTTTAAAAATATATATATTTCCCTTTATTACTTTCCAACCCCACCACCCCTTCCCTAATTGGAGTAAACTAGCCAACAACAACACTTAGGCCTCTACTTCCAGCTTATACATACTATATACATTTCATGGACACAGTCAATTTTATTCCTGAACTTGTTTTTACTCCTCAACCTCTCCGATCATTTTCATGATGTCCATCCGGTTTGCTTCTACATGCCATATCTTTCTAACTGTGCTCTTTCACAAAAGCTCTCAATCTATAACCTATATACTTATTATGGACACAGTATGCTTTACATTAGTCATCTTGTTGTTATTAGTTGTAGTTAGTTGTTATTAGTCCCATCCTTCAGCTCCATTCAACAACTCCCATCTATCTCTTAACACCATCCATATTGGATTTCTATTTGCCATATATTTTTCAACTGTACTGTGATGTTTCACTCCAGTGTTTTCCCTGTATGCATTTAGCAGCGGCGGAAATCATTGCGACCACTCCAAAAAATATTATTTAAGAAAATGTAATACAAATTAGAAAATAATTTTCGAGATGGTAAAACGTTTTCAGAGTAAAATTAAACAATGAAAACCAGATAAAGTATGTAGAAAAGATAATGGAGCTATATATATATTTTTTTTTTAATAAGAACTAACAATCACCAAAATAAAAACTGGACAGTCAGGGAGAATCTAAAATAACAAATATACACAATAGTAAGTGTACACCCCTTCAAATTACTGGATTTGGCTTTTTCAGCCACACCCATTGCTGGCAGGTGTATAAAATCGAGCTCACAACCATGCAATCTCCATAGACAAACATTGGCAGTAGAATGGCCCGTACTGAAGAGCTCAGTGACTTTCAACGTGGCACCGTCATAGGATGTCACCTTTCCAACAACATCTAGGAGCAACATCGGCTCAGCCGCGAAATGGTAGGCCACACAAGCTCACAGAACGGCACCACCGAGAGCTGAAGCGTGCAGCGTGTAAAAACATTGTCTGTCCTCGGTTGCAACACTCAGTACCGAGTTCAAAACTGTCTCTGGAAGTAACTTCAGCACAATAACTGTTAGTCGGGAGCTTCATGATATGGGTTTCCACGGACGAGCAGCCACACACAAGCCTAAGATCACCATGCACAATGCCGAGCATTGGCTGTAGTGGTGTAAAGCTCGCCGCCATTGGACTCTGGAGAAGTGGAAACGCGTTCTCTGGAGTGATGAATCGCGCTTCACCATCTGGCAGGCCGACGTACAAATCTGGGTTTGGCGGATGCCGGGAGAACGCTATCTGCCCAAATGTATAGTGCCAACTGTAAAGTTTGGTGGAGGAGGAATAATGGTCTGGGGCTGTTTTTCATGGTTCGGGCTAGGACCCTTAGTTCCAGTGAAGGGAAATCTCAATGCTACAGCATACAATGACATTCTAGACGATTCTGTGCTTCCAAATACCAACTTTCCAAAACAGTTTGGGGAAGGCCCTTTCCTGTTTCAGCAAAAGCGAGGTCCATACCGAAATGGTTTGTCGAGATCGGTGTGGAAGAACTTGACTGGCCTGCACAGAGCCCTGACCTCAACCACATCGAACACCTTTGAGATTAATTAGAACACCGACTGCGAGCCAGGCCACATCGCCCAACATAAGTGCCCGACCTCACTAATGCTCTTGTGGCTGAATGGAAGCAAGTCCCTGCAGCAATGTTCTAACATCTAGTTAAAAGTCTTACCAGAAGAGCGGAGGCTGTTATAGCAGCAAAAAGGTGACCAACTCCATATTAATGCCCATGATTTTGGAATGAGATGTTTGACGAGTGAGGGAAAAAAGTATTTGATCCCCTGCTGATTTTGTACGTTTGCCCACTGACAAAGAAATTATCAGTCTATAATTTTAATGGTAGGTTTATTTGAACAGTGAGAGACAGAATAACAACAAAAAATCCAGAAAAACGCATGTCAAAAATGTTATAAATTGATTTGCATTTTAATGAGGGAAATAAATATTTGACCCCTCTGCAAAACATGACTTAGTACTTGGTGGCAAAACCCTTGTTGGCAATCACAGAGATCAGACATTTCTTGTAGATGGCCACCAGGTTTACACACATCTCAGGAGGGATTTTGTCCCACTCCTCTTTGCAGATCTTCTCCAAGTCATTAAGGTTTCGAGTTTGACGTTTGGCAACTCGAACCTTCAGCTCCCTCCAAAGCTTTAATATGGGATTAAGGACTGGAGACTGGCTAGGCCACTCCAGGACCTTAATGTGCTTCTTCTTGAGCCACTCCTTTGTTGCTTTGGAAGTGTGTTTTGGGTCATTGTACAATTACATTTATATTTTAGTCATTTAGCAGACGCTCTTATCCAGAGCGACTTACAGTTAGTGAATAAATATTTTTTTTTTATACTGGCCCCCCGTGGGAATCGAACCCACAACCCTGGCGTTGCAAACGCCATGCTCTATCAACTGAGCTACATCCCTGCCGGCCATTCCCTCCCCTACCCTGGACGACGCTGGGCCAATTGTGCGCCGCCCATGAGTCTCCCGGTCGCGGCCGGCTGCGACAGAGCCTGGATTCGAACCAGGATCTCTAGTGGCACAGTTAGCACTGCGATGCAGTGCCTTAGACCACTGCGCCACTCAGGAGTTGTCATGCTGGAATACCCATCCACGACCCATTTTCAATGCCCTGGCTGAGGGAAGGAGGTTCTCACCCAAGATTTGACGGTACATGGCCCCGTCCATTGTCCCTTTGATGCGGTGAAGTTGTCCTGTCCCCTTAGCAGAAAAACACCCCCAAATCATAATGTTTCCACCTCCATGTTTGACGGAGGGGATGGTGTTCTTGGGGTCATAGGCAGCGTTCCTCCTCCTCCAAACACGGCGAGTTGAGTTGATGCCAAAGAGCTCAATTTTGGTCTCATCTGACCACAACACTTTCACCCAGTTCTCCTCTGAATCATTCAGATGTTCATTGGCAAACTTCAGACGGCCCTGTATATGTGCTTTCTTGAGCAGGGATACCTTGCAGGCGCTGCAGGATTTCAGTCCTTCACGGCATAGTGTGTTACCAATTGTTTTCTTGGTGACTATGGTCCCAGCTGCCTTGAAATCATTGACAAGATCCTCCCGTGTAGTTCTGGGCTGATTCCTCACCGTTCTCATGATCATTGCAACTCCACGAGGTGAGATCTTGCATGGAGCCCCAGGCCGAGGGAGATTGACAGTTCTTTTGTGTTTCTTCCATTTGCGAATAATCACACCAACTGTTGTCACCTTCTCACCAAGCTGCTTGGCGATGGTCTTGTAGCCCATTCCAGCCTTGTGTAGGTCTACAATCTTGTCCCTGACATCCTTGGAGAGCTCTTTGGTCTTGGCCATGGTGGAGAGTTTGGAATCTGATTGATTGATTGCTTCTGTGGACAGGGGTATTTTATACAGGTAACAAACTGAGATTAGGAGCACTCCCTTTAAGAGTGTGCTCCTAATCTCAGCTCGTTACCTGTATAAAAAGACACCTGGGAGCCAGAAATCTTTCTGATTGAGAGGGGGTGAAATACTTATTTCCCTCATTAAAATGCAAATCAATTTATAACATTTTTGACATGCGTTTATTTTTATTTTTTTGTTGTTATTCTGTCTCTCACTGTTCAAATAAACCTACTATTAAAATTATAGACTGATCATTTCTTTGTCAGTGGGCAAACTTACAAAATCAGCAGGGGATCAAAAACTTTTTTCCCTCACTGTATGTGTATATATATATATATTATAGTACAAGTCAAAAGTTTGGACACACCTACTCATTCAAGGTTTTTTCTTTATTTTTACTATTTTCTACATTGTAGAATAATAGTGAAGACATCAAAACTATGAAATAACACATATGGAATCATGTAATAACCAAACAATTGTTAAACAAATCAAAATATATTTTAGGTTTTAGATTCTTCAAATAGCCACCCTTTGCCTTGATGACAGCTTTGCACACTCTTGGCATTCTCTCTGACAGCTGATGAAACTGTGGGTTTGCACAACTGAAGAAGTTCTGGACAAACTGTCAGAAAGCGTCTCAGGGAAGCTCATCTGCGTGCTTGCCGTCCTCACCAGGGTCTTGACCTGACTGCAGTTCGGCGTCGTAACTGACTTCAGTGGACAAATGCTCACCTTTGATGGCCACTGGCACACTGGAGTGTGCTCTTCACGGATGAATCCTGGGCAGATGGCGTTCTGTGGGCGAGCGGTTTGCTGATGTCAATGTTGTGAACAGAGTGCACCATTGTGGCTGTGTGGTTATGGTATGGGTAGAAAATAGTAAAAATAAAGCATAAGCAAACAGGAAAACGCTCATCAAGAGAAGGCACTCCTAGTTGCCAGGGTCGTTAATGCAGGGTAACTTAATTCCATTTTACCTCATTTCTACCAGCATGTTAAATGTGCAACCAGAGGAAAAATAACTCTAGACCACATTTACTCCACACACAGAGATGTGTACAAAGCTCTCCCACGCCCTCCATTTTGCAAATCTGACCATAATTATATCCTCCTGATTACTGCATACAACCAAAAAGTAAAGCAGGAAGCACCAGTGACTCAGTCAATAAAGAAGTGGTCAGATGACGCAGATGCTAAGCAACAGGGTTGTTTTGCTAGCACACACTGGACTATGTTCCGGAATTCTTCCGATGGCATTGAGGAGTAAACCACATCAGTCACTGGCTTCATCAATAAGTGCATTGATGACGTCATCCCCACAGTGACCGTATGTACATACTCCAACCAGAAGCCATGGATTATAGGCAACATCCGCACTGAGCTAAAGGGTAGAGCTGCCGCTTTCAAGGAGCGGGACTAACCCGGACGCTTATAAGAAATCCCGCTATGCCCTCCGACGAACCATCAAACAGGCAAAGTGTCAATACAGGACTAAGATTGAATCGTACTACACCAGCTCAGACACTCGTCGCATGTGGCAGGGCTTGCAAACTATTACAGACTACAAAGGGAAGCACAGCCGCAAGCTTCCCAGTGACACGAGTCTACCAGATGAGCTAAATTACTTCTATGCTTGCTCCGAGGCAAGTAACACTGAAACATGCATGAGAGCATCAGCTGTTCTGGACCACTGTGTGATCACACTCTCCGTAGCCGATGTGAGTAAGACCTTTAAACAGGTCAACATTCACAAGGCCGCAGGGCCAGACGGATTACCAGGACATATACTTAGAGCATGCGATGACCAACTGGCAAGTGTCTTCACTGACATTTTCAACCTGTCCCTGACTGAGTCTATAATACCAACATGTTTCAAGCAGACCACCATAGTCCCTGTGCCCAAGAACACTAAGGTAACCTGCCTAAATGACTACAGACCAGTAGCACTCACGTCTGTAGCAATGAAGTGCTTTGAAAGGCTGGTCATGGCTCACATCAACACCATTATCCCAGAAACCCTAGACCCACTCCAATTTGCATACCGCCTCAACAGATCCACAGATGATGCAATCTCTATGGCACTCCACACAGCCCTTTCCCACCTGGACAAAAGGAACACCTACGTGAGAATGCTATTAATTGACTACAGCTCAGTGTGCAACACCATAGTGCCCTCAAAGCTCATCACTAAGCTAAGGACCCTGGGACTAAACACCTCCCTCTGCAACTGGATCCTGGACTTCCTGACAGGCCGCCCCCAGGTGGTAAGGGCAGGTAACAACACATCTGCCACGCTGATCCTCAACACGGGGGCCCCTCAGGGGTGCATGCTCAGTCCCCTCCTATACTCCCTGTTCACCTACGACTGCATGGACAGCCACGACTCCAACACCATCAATAAGTTTGCCGACAACCCAACAGTGGTAGGCCTGATCACCGACAACGATGAGACAGCCTATAGGGAGGAGGTCAGAGACCTGGCCGTGTGGTGCCAGGTTAACAACCTCTCCCTCAACGTGATCAAGACAAAGGAGATGATTGTGGAGAACATGAAAAGAAGAGCATGCCTCCATTCTCATCAATGGGGCTGTAGTGGAGCAGGTTGAGAGCTGCAAGTTCCTTGGTGTCCACATCACCAACAAACTATCATGGTCCAAACACACCAAGACAGTTGTGAAGAGGGTATGACAAAGCCTATTCCCCCTCAGGAGACTGAAAAGACTTGGCATGGGTCCTCAGATCCTCAAAAAGTTCTACAGCTGCACCATCTAGAGCATCCTGACTGGTTGCATCACTGCCTGGTATGGCAACTGCTCGGCCTCCGACCACAAGGCACTACAGAGGGAAGTGCGTACGGCCCAGTACATCACTGGGGCCAAGCTTCCTGCCATCCAGGACCTCTATACCAGGCGGTGCAGAGGAAGGCCCTAAAAATTGTCAAAGACTCCAGCCACCCTAGTCATAGACTGTTCTCTCACGGCAAGCGGTACCGGAGCGCCAAGTCTAGGTCCAAAAGGCTTCTTAACAGCTTCTACCTCCAAGCCATAAGACTCCTGAACAGCTAATCAAATGACTACCCGGACTATTTGCATTGTCTCTCTTTTTATTATCTATACATAGTCGAATTTAACTATACCTACATGTACATATTACCTCGACTAACCGGTGCCCCCGCACATTGACTCTGTACCGGTATTTTTCTTAAAGCTGCATTGTTGGTTAAGGGCTTGTATGTAAGCATTTCACTGAAAGCTCTACACCTGTTGTATTCGGCGCATGTGACAAATAACATGTTATTTTATTTTAAATAGTGTTAAATAAACACCTTATTGCTTCTCTCTTGTCATTTGCCGTGGCATATCAAGAACATCACAGTGAAACTTCAAATAGAACAGTAAACAAGTATTATTGCGTCATACCTGTGGTATATCGCTTCATATACACACGGCTGAAATGCTATTTTAGCCAATCAGCATTCAGGATCCAAACTCCCTGGTTTATAAAGTTAAATACAATATAGCCTACAGCCCAGCCGTACAATTCTCTAAAGAGTATTAAACGTTGCAAAATAGGCCCCTGATCAATTATATTATTGTATTTTTGAATCAAAGAGAACAAACTACCTCTCACTGTTTGATACTCCCTCCAGTACTCTTCTTTACAGTGAAACAAAAACAAAGCGGTTTTGTAATTCCTGTCGGTCACATTTAAAAGCACATTATCCCGTGACAGTGAGTCACAAATGATACCATACTCCCCATATAGTTCATGCTAGATTCCCACTATAGGGCCGACCCTAACCGTACTGATCTGGCTCTACTTTCTATTTTCCCCTTTGTCCTTTCCAGCAATTATGGTAACCAGGTTACCCAGTAAGTTTCAGCTCGGTAGTGTGAAAACGGTAATAGTGCACTATATGGAGAATAGGGTGTGTTACAAAGACGCAGCTGAACTCAGAAGGGGAAAGAGGGAGGGAGAGGGAGCGCGCGCGAGAGAGTGCTAAAGATTGAAATAAAGAGAAAGTCTGACCTCCAGATGACGTTGTAGACGGGGTCGAGACAGAGGCCGAAGCCCTGCAGGTCCTCCTGCTCTGAGTCGTTGAAGGTGCGGCAGCTGCCATCCAACTTGTTGATGAGCAGGCATTTAAAGGGAGGGGGCTCCGACACAGAGGTGGGGACTAAGCCTGGTCGGACACAAAGAAGAAAGGTTAATTAAAGGCTAATGCACTATTTTCATTGTGTGGAATTTTGAGGCTAAAATGGCATTGGACATCTTTATTGTTTAATCTAAATATTATATATTCTTGTGTGTAATATCTTCACACAAAATAAGACATTTCCACATAAAGAGGTTTTGAGTAAAGGACCAATCCTAACTTGCATGTGAATCATACATTTCTGTCAATGGAAGTTGTGCACAAGGCCTGTATTCACAAAGCATCTCAGAGTAGCAGTGCTATTGTAGGATCAGGTCCCACCTGTCCATGGAATCTCATTCATTAAGATCTACACTTCTAGATCAGCATTACTAATTTGAGACGCTTTATTAATATGAGTCCTGATCTCAGATTAAGGTTAGGACCTTAGTGAGCAGAGGGCGTGCAACTTACCGATGATGTCTTTGCTAGCGAAGATCTCGGAAGTAGCCAGGACGTGTGAGTTGATCAGGGCCTCGTCTATCCTCAGGAAGGTCTGGTCGCCGCTGGCCCCGATCCAGGTGGCCTTGCGGCCGTACTTGGCACCAATGTTGGGCATGGGGGAGGGCTTGGCGTTCCAGTAGGGCATGTCCAGGATTGGCCGACCCAGCTGCCCTTTCTGTGGAGACATGTATTTCATTTCAGTCCTTACAGTCATTTTAGTAATTTAGTCATGTCAGTCATCTTATTTAGAATGACTTACAAATCACCACATTCAACAAAAGTAGGTAAAACAACCATGATCAGACAACAAGACAGAGAAGAAAAGTCAGTATCCTCATTCTGTGGTCACCAGCATTTCAAATACGATACATTATTAATCTCTATGTATTCAATAAGAATTTAAGCAATGGACAAAGTAACATTGCAAAGATGTTACCATTACAACAAGGTCAATAAGGAAAACTAGGGGTTCTGGTTTGGGTTAGATACAATTCAATGGTTCTAGTTAATCAGGAAAACAAAGTCTGAGAGAAAAATCACATCTGTGTAAAAAAGTATTTGAAAAGGTAGAGGCATAGAGCTGCGTGGTGTACCGAGAAGCTGCCGAAGGTGAAGACCTGCCCGTCCATGAGGAGCACGGCCGTGTGGTTACTACCAGCTGTCACCTGGACACTCGGACCTGGGAGAGCCTGCACCAGTGTGGGAGATCCCCTACACAGACACATAGAAAGGAGGGAAAGAGAGAGAGAAATACAGAGTTAATACCCAGGTTCAAGGACAGCCTTTACTACCAAACTGTGAGGCTAAACATCAAGGGACTACATGATTGTACTGCATTATAAATTAAATGTATTTCTTTATCGTCTGTTTACTAATAATTTGTGTACGTGTGTGTCAGTAGTTACCTTAGGTTGACATCTCCGTGTCCAAGCTGACCATGCTGACCGTAGCCAAACGTATAGACATCCCCATTCTCCATCAGCACCACTACAGGACAGGACCAGAGAAAAACCCATTTCATAACATCATCATTACATGTTAAATACCACATAATATCACTTATCGCAATGTGTTGTGTACATTTAGCATATTCATCAGATGCCTATTGTCACGCCCTGACTCAGGGGACGCTTAAAAGTTGAGTCAGGGTGTGTATATTCTTTGTTGTGTGTTTTCTATGTTGAATACTCTAGTATGTGTGGATCTATGTTGGCCGGTGTGGTTCCCAATCAGAGGCAGCTGTCGCTCGTTGTCTCTGATTGGGGTCCATACTTAAGCAGCCTATTGGCACAGTCTAGATTACGGGGGCTATTGGTTCAGAGGGAGCAGGAGGTATTCGGTCAGAGGGAGGCGCTACAGGAGGCTAGAAGGGAGGTGTAGAGGCACGGCGAGAGGAGCTGGTTAGGCAGCAGAAGGAACGGGGGTTAATAAAGGAACCCAGTCCTGCTCCTCGCACCAAGCAAGTGGTGCGTGTCGCCAGTCCAGTCCGGCCCGTTCCTGCTCCCCGCACCAAGCCAGTGGTGCGCGTCGCCAGCCCGGCCCGGCCTGTTCCTGCTCCTCGTACCAAGCCAGTGGTGCGCGTCGCCGGCCCGGCCTGTTCCTGCTCCTCGCACCAAGCCAGTGGTGCGCGTCGCCGGCCCGGCCCGACCCTGCTCCTCGCACCAAGCCAGTGGTGCGCGTCGCCAGCCCGGCCCGACCCGGTCCTGCTCCTCGCACCAAGCCAATGGTGCGCGTCGCCAGTCCGGCCCGGCCCGTTCCTGCCCCTCGCACCAAGCCTGTGGTGCGTTTGTCCAGTCTGGCACGGCCCGTGCCCGTTCCACCGGTGCCTGGTCACTCCGGAGACAGAGCAGTCCGCTCCACCGGTGCCTGATCTAGTTCCGGTCAGCTGTTCCACTCCGGAGGCAGAGCAGTCCGCTCCACCGGTGCCTGAACCAGCTCCGGTCAGCTGCTCCACTCCGGAGCCAGAGCAGTACGCTCCACCGGTGCCCAGTCCAGCTCCGGTCAGCGGCTCCAGTCCAGACCATGACGTCAGCCCCTCTCCAGGTTCGGGGTCTCCCACACCAGGGTCCAGACAGGGCCTGGCGTATCGTGGGAGGAAGGAGAGGGGAAGTAGCGCGCCGAGGTCCAGACCAGACCAGGGGCGCAACAGGGAGGCGGAGAGTGAGAGGTCGTCACGCCCCAAGCCGGATCCGCCTCCGAGGCGGAAATGCCCACCCGGCCCCTACCCTGTTATGTTTGTTGTGCGGTCAGAGTCCGCACCTTTGGGGGGGGGGGGGGGGTACTGTCACGCCCTGACTCAGGGGACGCTTAAATGTTGAGTCAGGGTGTGTATATTCTTTGTTGTGCGTTTTCTATGTTGTATATACTAGTATGTGTGGATCTATGTTGGCCGGTGTGGTTCCCAATCAGAGGCAGCTGTCGCTCGTTGTCTCTGATTGGGGACCATACTTAAGCAGCCAATTGGCACAGTCTAGTTGTGGGATCTTGTTCCGTGTAAGGTATGTTGTTTATGTCTACCTTGGACTTCACGTCTCGTTTAGTTTGTTGTTTTGTCGTTGTGTTTATTCGGTATAATAAACATGTATGCATATCACGCTGCGCCTTGGTCCGTCCTTCAACAAACGTGACACCTATCAACCTGATGGTGTGCAAACATGAGCACCAACACTTGATAAATAGTGCATAAACTATTGTAAAGGATTAATTGCATGTAGAAATATTTGTGGAAATATACCGAACAAAACTATAAATGCAACATGTAAAGTGTTGGTTCCATGTTTTATGAGCTGAAATAAAAGACCCCAGAAATGTTCCATATGGTTTATTTCTCTAAGATTTTGTCAACAAATGTGGTTACATCCCTGTTAGTGAGCATTTCTCCTTTGCCAAGATAATCCATCCACCTGACCGGTGTGGCATATCATGAAGCTGATTAAACAGCATGATCATTACACAGGTGCATCTTGTGCTGGAGCCAAAACAAAAGGCCACTCTAAAATGTGCAGTTTTGTCACACAACACAATGCCAGTTTTGAGGGAGAGTGCAATTGGCATGCTGACTGCAGGAATGTCCACCAGAGCTGTTGCCAGATAATTGAATGTTCATTTCTATATCATAAGCCACCTCCAACGTCATTTTAGAGAATGTGGCAGCACGTCCAACCGGCCTCACTACCGCAGGAACACAACCGCAGGAACTCTACATCCGACTTCTTCACCTGCGGGATCATCTGAGACCAGCCACCCGGACAGCTGACGAAACTCTGGGGTTGCACAACTGTGGGTTTTTGCACAACTTAATTTCTGCACAAACTGTCAGAAACTGTCTCAGGGAAGCTCACCTGGTCGTCCTCACTAGGGTCTTGAGCTGACTGCAGTTTGGCGTCTTAACCAACTTCAGGGGGCAAATGCTCACCTTCGATGGCCACTGACACGCTGGAGAAGTGTGCTCTTCATGGATTAATCCCAGTTTCAACTGTACCGGACAGACAGCAGATAGCATGTATGGCGTTGTGTGGGTGAGCGGTTTGCTGATGTCAACTTTGTGAACAGAGTGCCCCATGGTGGGGTTATGGTATAGGCAGGCATAAGCTATGGACAACAAACAAAATTGCATTTTATCGATGGCAATTTTTTAATGCACAGATATACTGTGACGAGATCCTGAGGCCCATTGTCGTGCCATTCATCCGCTGCCATCCCCTCATGTTTCACCATGATAATGCACGGCCCCATCTGTACACAATTCCTGGAAGCTGAAAATGTCCCAGTTCTTCCATGGCTTGCAAACTCACCAGACATGTCACCCTTTGAGCATGTTTGGGATGCTCTGGATTGACGTGTATGACAGTGTGTTCCAGTTCCCGCAAATATCCAGCAACTTTGCACAGCCATTGAAGAGGAGTGGGACAACATTCCACATGCCACAATCAACAGCATGATCAACTCTATACACTGCATGAGGCAAATGGTGGTCACACCAGATACTGACTGGTTTTCTGATCCACGCCCTTACTTTTTTTTTGAAGGTATCTGTGACCAACAGACGTATATCTGTATTCCCACTCATGTGAAATCCATTGATTAGGGCCTATTGAATTTATTTCAATTGACTGATTTCCTTATATGAAATGTAACTCAGTCAAATCTTTGAAATTGTTGCATGTTGCATTTATTTAAAAAAATAAGTTTACATACACCTTAGCCAAATACATTTAAACTCAGTTTTTCACAATTCCTGACATTTAATCCTAGTAAAAATTCCCTGTCTTAGGTCAGTTAGGATCACCACTTTATTTAAAGAATGTGAAATGTCAGAATAATACACTGCTCAAAAAAAATAAAGGGAACAATAAAATAACACATCCTAGATCTGAATGAATGAAATAATCTTATTAAATACTTTTTTCTTTACGTAGTTGAATGTGCTGACAACAAAATCACACAACAATTATCAATGGAAATCAAATTTATCAACCCATGGAGGTCTGGATTTGGAGTCACCCTCAAAATTAAAGTGGAAAACCACACTACAGGCTGATCCAACTTTGATGTAATGTCCTTAAAACAAGTCAAAATGAGGCTCAGTAGTGTGTGTGGCCTCCACGTGCCGGTATGACCTCCCTACAATGCCTGGGCATGCTCCTGATGAGGTGGCGGATGGTCTCCTGAGGGATCTCCTCCCAGACCTGGACTAAAGCATCCGCCAACTCCTGGACAGTCTGTGGTGCAATGTGGCGTTGGTGGATGGAGCGAGACATGATGTCCCAGATGTGCTCAATTGGATTCAGGTCTGGGGAACGGGCGGGCCAGTCCATAGCATCAATGCCTTCCTCTTGCAGGAACTGCTGACACACTCCAGTCACATGAGGTCTAGCATTGTCTTGCATTAGGAGGAACCCAGGGCCAACCGCACCAGCATATGGTCTCACAAGGGGTCTGAGGATCTCATCTCGGTACCTAATGGCAGTCAGGCTACCTCTGGCGAGCACTTGGAGGGCTGTGCGGCCCCCCAAAGAAATGCCACCCCAAACCATGACTGACCCACCGCCAAACTGGTCATGCTGGAGGATGTTGCAGGCAGCAGAACGTTCTCCACGGCGTCTCCAGACTCTGTCACGTCTGTCACGTGCTCAGTGTGAACCTGTTTTCATCTGTGAAGAGCACAGGGCGCCAGTGGCGAATTTGCCAATCTTGGTGTTCTCTGGCAAATGCCAAAGGTCCTGCACGGTGTTGGGCTGTAAGCACAACCCCCACCTGTGGACGTCGGGCCCTCATACCACCCTCATGGAGTCTGTTTCTGACCGTTTAAGCAGACACATGCACATTTGTGGCCTGCTGGAGATTATTTTGCAGGGATCTGGCAGTGTTCCTCCTGCTCCTCCTTGCACAAAGGTGGAGGTAGCAGTCCTGCTGCTGGGTTGTTGCCCTCCTACGGCCTCCTCCACGTCTCCTGATGTACTGGCCCGTCTCCTGGTAGTGCCTCCATGCTCTGGACACTACGCTGACAGACACAGCAAACCTTCTTGCCACAGCTCGCATTGATGTGCCATCCTGGATGAGCTGCACTACCTGAGCCACTTGTGTGGGTTGTAGACTCCGTCTCATGCTACCACTAGAGTGAAAGCACTGCCAGCATTCAAAAGTGACCAAAACATCAGCCAGGAAGCATAGGAACTGAGAAGTGGTCTGTGGTCACCACCTGCAAAACCAGTCCTTTATTGGGGGTGTCTTGCTAATTGCCTATAATTTCCACCTGTTGTCTATTCCATTTGCACAACAGCATGTGAAATGTATTGTCAATCAGTGTTGCTTCCTAAGTGGACAGTTTGATTTCACAGAAGTGTGATTGACTTGGAGTTACATTGTGTTGTTTAAGTGTTCCCTTTATTTTTTTGAGCAGTGTAGTAGAGCAAATTATTTATTTATTTCATCACATTCCCAGTGGGTCAGAAGTTTACATACACTCAATTAGTATTTAGTAGCATTGCCTTTAAATTGTTTAACTTGGGTCAAACGTTTCAGGTAGCCGTCCACAAGCTTCCCACAATAAGTTGGGTGAATTTTGGCCCATTCCTCCTGACAGAGCTGGTGTAACTGAGTCAGGTTTGTAGGCCTCCTTGCTCGCACAAACTTTTTCAGTTCTGCCCACACATTTTCTATAGGATTGAGGTCAGGGCTTTGTGATGGCCACTCCAATACCTTGACTTTGATGTCCTTAAGCCATTTTGCCACAACTTTGGAAGTATGCTTGGGGTCATTGTCCATTTGGAAGACACATTTGTGACCAAGCTTTAACTTCCTGACTTATGTCTTGAGATGTTGCTTCAATATATCCACATAATTTTCCTTCCTCATGATGCCATCTATTTTGTGAAGTCCACCAGTCCCTTCTGCAACAAAGCACCCCCACAGCATGATACTGCCACCCCCGTGTTTCACAGTTGGGATGGTGTTCTTCGGCTTGCAAGGCTCCCCCTTTTTCCTCCAAACATAACGATGTTCATTATGGCCAAACAGTTCTGTTTTTGTTTCATCAGACCAGAGGACATTTCTCCAAAAAGTATGATCTTTGTCCCCACATGCAGTTGCAAACCATAGTCTGGCTTTTTTATGGCGGTTTTGGAGCAGTGGCTTCTTCCTTGCTGAGTGGCCTTTCAGGTTATGTCGATATAGGACTTGTTTTACTGTGGCTATAGATACTTTTGTACCTGTTTCCTCCAGCATCTTCACAAGGTCCTTTGCTGTTGTTCTGGGATTGATTTGCACTTTTCACACCAAAGTACGTTAATCTGTAGGAGACAGAACGCGTCTCCTTCCTGAGCGGTATGACGGCTGCGTGGTCCCATGGTGTTTATACTCGCATACTATTGTTTGTACAGATGAATGTGGTATCTTCAGGCGTTTGGAAATTGCTCCCAAGGATGAACCATACTTGTGGAGGTCTACAATAATTTTTCTGAGGTCTTGGCTGATTTCTTTTGATTTTCCCATGATGTCAAGCTAAGAGGCACTGAGTTTGAAGGTAGGCCTTGAAATACATCCACAGGTACACCTCCAATTGACTCAAATGATGTCAATTAGCCTATCAGAAGCTTCTAAAGCCATGACATCATTTTCTGAAAATTTCCAAGCTGTTCAAAGGCACAGTCAACTTAGTGTATGTAAACTTCTGACTTCAACTATATTTGTTTAGATAGAGTCAATTGTATGTTTTGTATAATTCTACAAAGTCCTAGAAAAAATGTAGACCTCTAGCCTATCTTAATTTCCCTTACAATAAAAACATTACAGTGTAATCCATTTGATCAACTCTATTTGTAGATTTGATTAGTAATAGAGTTATAGTAATTAATAAAGTCCAGTTACAGGTTATTTAGACAAAGTAGAAACGGAAAAGATAAACATATAACCAGCCAGGTGCACAGGTGAAATTATATGCAGTATTGCTAAACAAAAGTACCAGATCATGAATTGTAAAGGATGAATTGCATAAATAAATATTTGTGGAAATATATTCATGACAAGATACAATATAAGTATTTTGTTGATTGTAATCGACACTGTATTGTGCACTTATATGCGTGCATTTAAGCATGAATCAATCTTGTCGTGTCTTTATGCTTCGGGTCCACAGTCAGCACACAGCTTTGGGGCTTTGTGTGCGCAAGCCCCACAAACAAATCGGTTGCACTGCACACAGTTTTCTTGGGCCTTGTTAAGTGTGCAGGTGTCGCATAATCTCTCTGAAGCTGTTGCGTGAAATGGTATCTCTGAAAAAGTCCACCCCTTACCTATCAAACCAAAATGACTCCACATCCAAACTCTTTCCGCCGTATGCCCCGCGGACATACAAGAGTGCAATAAATGCTTAGAGTTCATCCATAGACATGTCCCACGTACTGTTTCCTTTTCTGTACGTATGAGCAACATCTCTGATGTGCTTCAACATCTGCATGTCACATAAACTCGTCATACTTTTCTACCAAACCGTGCCATCCCTCCCAGACTGTCTCACCGTGGCAGTTGGGATCATTATCTCAGTTGGCTCTGTTCTGGTTTTTCTGCAGCGAGGCTCAGGCATCGGAGGCGGAGGCTCGAAGTAAACATCAGAATCAGATGAAGACTTTTATATCCAATCCTCCATCCGACTTAAACTCATCTAAATTCTGCAGCATTTGCAATGCTGTCAGTGCGTCTATTCGTTTGGTTCGGCTTGACATTGTGAACTACACACATTGTATGTTGTACTCAGTGTCTGATTTGACTCTGAGGGGAATTATATACCATTTCCAGCCTTTCATAATAAAATAATTAGACTGTCCACAACGCCCACAATTCCTCATCATTACACTAGTGTTCTAAATTCAATCATCCCCTTCACCCCTAACAGTTCATTGAAGCCATTCATCTATTGACGACAGAATATAATATTTTAATTTTATTATGTTACTAGTTTTTGCTTAGTAGCCAGAGCAATGCTGCCGTTCGAGTGGTCATGTGCTGAATGCATGGACAGCACAGCTATTATTGGAAAAAGTAAAATTTGTAAATAGAGCTGCACCTCTTGAATTTTGAGTTATTTGACAAAAGTAAGTGTCATAGAAACAGCAGAATATGCTCTTTCTGATACTATATAGAAATCTAAATGTTTGCGGATTTGATAAAGTGATGCTCAATTTCCCTGCATCTGTCAATTACAAGATGCGCCCATGTCTTTTTGTTCAATTTGACAACTGATAGGCCTAATATTGTCACTCATCAGATTGTCAATTTAATATTGTCTATAGGCTAACTCTTATTATGTGTAAAATTCATTTTGGTATAGTTTAGGTGTAGTTTTGATGGTCCGGCTATACAGGCTGACTGGCATTGTTTGTTTCCCACTTAGAAAGAGTCAAGGATATGTTTGCATTATTCTAAAGGCATACTGCAACACATATAATGTTTAATTTCCCTTACAATACATTTGATTAGTCATATAGTTACAGTAATAAAACAGTCCTGTAAGCTTATTTTTACAAAGTAAAACATAAAAGAGAATGGTATCAACCGCAAGGTGCGGTCAAAATTCTTACCATGAGCTCCAACACTCACTTCAAATCAAATCAAATCAAATTGTATTGGTCACATGCGCCGAATACAACAGGTGCAGACATTACAGTGAAATGCTTACTTACAGCCCTTAACCAACAGTGCATTTATTTTAAACAAAAAAAAAGTAAAAATAAAACAACAACAAAAAAAGTGTTGAGAAAAAAAAGAGCAGAAGTAAAATAAAGTGACAGTAGGGAGGCTATATATACAGGGGGTACCGTTGCAGAGTCAATGTGCGGGGGCACCGGCTAGTTGAGGTAGTTGAGGTAATATGTACTTGCGACTGTGAGTCCTAAAATGCAGAGCCTATTGATGGAGTATTTTTCAAATCTGTTCCATTGTTTGCTAGCTGGTTAGCTAGCTCTGTCTCATTGACCACCAATACAAATGCTGCTAAAGGAAGCTAGCTAGCCAGGTAATATAACATGTTTTCTCCAAATGTATGTTAGCTAGCTAAGTTAGCTTGATTATGAATACAACTCTCATCTGCTGTCGATAGAAGGATATGACTTAAGAGCACTAGTTTGGTCCAAAAGTTAGCAGCTTTGACCGCATGTGGATGGTGCATTCACAGCCATCCAGTGGCTAGCCACACTACAAACGTCATTTTACCAAGTTCCTGTGAAGCAATTGTAATGAGTCCGCCACATACCCAAGAGTCTTCTGATTAGCAATGGTTAGTTTGTGTTTAATTTCATTGTGTATTAGAACACAGTTTGATATCATTCTCAGGGGTTTTCTCAAATAGTTTGAATGGGGAATTGAGTTTCCCGGGGAAATGTTGACCGAGGTAGCAACAGTAACAAAAGGGGCGGGGCTTAGTGAAGGGTAAATTCCTTTAACAGTTTTTATTGAAATACCTTTATGACCTGTGGTTATTTGATATGTGGCCAGAAAACACTCATCAACACAGTCTTCCTCTTGTGATCAAAGACCACCGAAGAAGAGATCAAAGAAGAAGCAGGGAGTGAGTGACAGGAAGTGGCCGGGGGACCTACCTGAATGGTGGAAGCCGCAGCTGACCTGCACAGCTGTCATCTCGCAGTCGAAATGCACCACCCTCGGGGGGTAGGTGGTGATCTTATGGGGGTCCTTCTCCACTCGCTCGCTGCTCCCGTCTGTAAAGGTGAACAGGCCATCAGTCAGGTGGAGAGGGGGAAGGAGGGAGCAGGCAGGAGAGAGAGAGGGTAGGGGTTAAGAAAGAGGGAGAGAACTCCGTTTGCAGCTTCAGAGATGGGTGTCTTAGGATCGGAACACCGACAGTCCTGGAGAAGGAAGCTGGAATAAGCAAGTGATTCCAAGAAAAAAAGAAGGGAGAGAAGGAAGGAAAGGTAATGAAGGCATGTGAAAAGAAGGTAAAAAAGAAGGTAAAAAAACTCTCCAAACCTCAAACAGAGCAGGACCTTTCTTTTTGTGGGGGTTGTTTCAATTGCTCCATGCTCAATTTCAATGTGGCGTATCACTTGCAGGTGCCTATGACGCCTAACTACACAGCAACATAATCCAGGGCTTAGTGCAGTTCTTTCCAGCTGAATGTATTTTTAAAAAGTTCTGAAAATACTGTCATACCTGTTCTGTATAAAAGTTTAATGTGAATTTAGGGGGCCATTGGCTTTCATAGGATTCTTATTGTTTCAGAGGTCATAGTGATTGGTGAGAGGAACAGGGAGGATGAAGGCCCATGCATTACAGTGAACATAGAACGGTGTTTATTGATCCCATCTTATACCACGGACTGACATGCTATGGTCTTCCTCATTTTATAAACTAAGTAACAAACTAACTAACTGCTGGAATAGTCAGCATATACCTCACACACCAGTCCATGGACCAGGGTTCTGTTGGATAGGGTTGAATAATTGGCCTGACTGAATGAGTCCAATGGGGTTGGAGAGACATTGCTCTCTAGAGTATAGAGTAACTTTTCAAGAGGAGTGCAAAAATAGGGGTACAAGAACACACCCTCTCCCCTTGATGCTTTACCTCTATAGTAGCATAATATCCTATATTTGACCTTTAAGAGACATTCTTCAGAAAATCTATACTCCCTCAGTATTATTTTCTATTCAATATCAATACCTACACATTCCCCTGCTCTCAACCTCAGAACCATCAGTTGTGGGGGAGAAATTAGGGTAGAAGAGGGAAAGATCTTAGTATAGAATAATCCTAATGGGTAAACCAGTTTGACGTATTATTAATCCCGATTAAGAATAGTGGGACTGTGGTATCTTTTACATCTTCCATCTGCATTTTCCTCTACAGCATCTTAAAGCTGCAATATGTTACTTTTAGGGCAACCCGACCAAATTCACATAGGAAAGTATTTGTATTTGTATTTGTTATGGATCCCCATTAGTGGCTGCCAAGGCAGCAGCTACTCTTCCTGGGGTCCAGCAAAATTAAGGCAGTTTTACATTTTAAAAACATCACAATACATTCATAACAGATTTCACAACATATTAAGTGTGCCCCCTCAGGCCTCTACTCTACTACCACATATCTATAACACAAAATCCATGTGTACATGTGTGTATAGTGCGTATGTTATCGTGTGTTTACATGCATGTGTCTATGTTTGTGTTGCTTCACAGTCCCCACTGTTCCATAAGGTGTATTTGTATCTGTTTTTAAATCAAATTTTACTGCTGGCATGAGTTACTTGATGTGGAATAGAGTTCCATGTAGTCATGGCTCTATGTAGTACTATGCACCTCCCATAGTCTGTTCTTGACTTGGGGACTGTGAAGAGACCTCTGGAGGCATGTCTTGTGGGGTATGCATGGGAGTCTGAGCTGTGTGCCTGTAGTTCAAACAGACAGCTGTCAATATCTCTCACAAATACAAGTAGTGATGAAGTCAATCTCTCCTCAACTTTGAGCCAGGAGAGATTGACATGCATATTATTCATGTTAGCTCTCTGTGTACATCCAAGGGCCAGCCGTGCTGCACTGTTCTGAGCCAATTGCAATTTTCCTAAGTCCCTCTTTGTGGCACCTGACCACACGACTGAACAGCAGTCCAGGTGCGACAAAACTAGGGCCTGTAGGACCTGCCTTGTTGATAGTGCTGTTAAGAATGCAGAGCAGCGCTTTATTATACAGACTTCTCCCCATCCTAGCTACTGTTGTATCAATATTTTTTGACCATGACAGTTTACAATCCAGGGTTACTCCAAGCAATTTAGTCTCCTCAACTTGCTCAATTTCCACATTATTAATTACAAGATTTAGTTGAGGTTTAGGGTTTAGAAAATGATTTGTCCCAAATACAATATTTTACATTTTTGGAATATTTAGGACTAACTTATTCCTTGCCACCCATTATGAAACTAACTGTATCTCTTTTTTAAGTGTTGCTGTCATTTCAGTCGCTGTGGTAGCTGATGTGTATAGTGTTGAGTCATCCGCTTACATGGACACACTGGCTTTACTCAAAGCATGTCGTTAGTTAAGATTGAAAAAAGTAAGGGGCCTAGACAGCTGCCCTGGGGAATTCCTGATTCTACCTGGATTATGTTGGAGAGGCTTCCATTAAAGAACACCCCCTGTGTTCTGTTAGACAGGTAACTCTTTATCCACAATATAGCAGGGGGTGTAAAGCCATAACACATACGTTTTTCCAGCAACAGACTATGATCGATAATGTCAAAAGCTGCACTGAAGTATAACAAAACATCCCCCACAATATTTTTATCATCAATTTCTCTCAGCCAATCATCAGTCATTTGTGTAAGTGCTGTGCTTGTTGAATGTCCTTCCCTATAAACGTGCTGAAAGTATGTTGTCAATTTGTTTACTGTGAAATAGCATTTTATCAAACACAATTTTTTCCAAAAGTTTACTAACGGTTGGTAGGCTGATTGGTCGGCTATTTGAGCCAGTAAAGGGGGCTTTACTATTCTTAGTACAGGCCTGAGGGCACACGCTTTCTAGCAGCCTTAAATTAAAGATATGGCAAATAGGAGTGTCAATATTGTCCGCTATTATCCTAAGTAGTTTTCCATCCAAGTTGTCAGACCCCGGTGGTTTGTCATTGTTGATCGACAATCATCTTTTCAACCTCTTCCACACTTACTTTACGGAATTCAAAATTACAATGCTTGTCTTTCATAATTTGGTCAGATATACTTGAATGTGTAGTGTCAGTGTTTGTTGCTGGTATGTCATGCCTAAGTTTGCTAATCTTGCCAATGAAAAAAAATAATTAAAGTAGTTGGCAATATCAGTGGGTTTTGTGATGAATGAGCCATCTGATTCAATGAATGACGGAGCTTAGTTTGTCTTTTTGGCCAAAATCTCATTTAAGGTGATCCAAAGCTTTTTACTGTCATGCTTTATGTCATTTATCTTTGTTTCATAGTGTAGTTTCTTCTTATTTTTATTCAGTTTAGTCACATGATTTCTCAATTTGCAGTACGTTTGTGAGTTATAGATGTGAGTTATAGATCTGTAATTCTCATTGAAAGCAAGTCTAAGAACTGGTGGATCTGTTCTATGTGCGCTATTTCTATGTTTCCAGTTCTTAAATTTAGTTTTTTCGTCTTCTCCTTTTGGTTTTGTACACCAGCTTCAAAAAGCTGAAAATACAAAATGTTTGGTTATTGAAAAGATACAGTATTTCACAGGGGTTTAGATGGTACAATGATTCTCCACACTATAGATTACTTGTTCTGTCACAAACTGAAATTAGGAGAACTACTAGAATTTTAGCAACCAGGAAATGGCACAGCATATTGCACCTTTAATTTGTTGCTTCCAAATATAACTACAGGGCACATAAACCATCTATTTATACCAATTAGTGATTATCCATGAAGGATATTTTAAATGTGCCCTGTTCGGATAAAAAAAAGACTTAAATCATTTCATTTGTGGCTATAAATACTAATTTGAAAGCCTCCACCGACGTCTAGGATGACATGAAATAAGCGCAATCGGTGTCGGAAGTCTATCCGTCACAACTTCTCTTCTCTCCTTACTGATCTATCAATCCCATAATATAGTCTGCTTGTTGTTTGAGGCGAGGCGCTTTGACAACGCCTGCAGTTTCACCTGCATCTAATTATGCTGTGTCAGTCGACGGCCGCTGTAAGAAATCTACTCTGCTGCTTAGAGAGTGTTGTTCAATCGAGTTGGACTGTGATATAGATTTTTATTTAACAAAAGTAGTGTCGCCGTCCAAGGACTCTAGTGCCAAAGCAAAAGAAGAATTAACTTAATAGACTCCCAATTGTTTCTTATTCTCTCTCCTTCGGTTTGTCTTTTGTATTTATACTAATGCACCAGAGAGAGGAAACCTATTTAGAAGGGATCTTTACTTAAAGGGGCAATCTGAAGTTCAAAAACTTGCAAAGCGGTCACCACGCCACTGTTTCGGTACACATCTGGGGGATGGGGCTGGATAAATGTAACCACTGTCAAATTCATAGACAGACCTATGGATGCAAGGACTGACCATCTCTGAGATAAAAATTATAGTCTTAACCATGTTTTTAAGCTATTCAGTGTTTGTTTACAATTGCATCCTTTGCAAACAAAGGAGTAGAACAAGCTTATATTTTGGGTTCTGATGGGGATAGACAATTGAGGCATTTATAAGTTATATTCTTCAAGAATCAATGGCTATACACTGCATATTATGAATTTAAAAGTAAAACAATTTATGTTGAAATCAGAGGAAGTTACAGCTACTATTTTTAAGCAATTTCCTGTCCTAGAGAGAAAATACACATTTACGTTCCAACTCCAAAGAATGACAAAGGCTACTTGAACATATTCACGAATTGGGAGTGGGAATTTCCACGTGGAGTTGATAAACATCAACAAATAGGGCACTGATAGCTGTCAGTGTAGCTAGCTAGCATGCTATCTACAGTGCATTCGGAAAGTATTCAGACCACTTGACTTTTTCCATATTTTGTTAAGTTATAGCCTTATTCTAAAATGGATTAAAACATGTTTTCCCCTCAATCTATACACAATACCCCATAATGACAAGGCAAAAAAAAAAAAAAGTACAACATTTTTACAAATGTATAAAGAAAATACAAAAATTAAATACCATATTTAGATAAGTATTCAGACCCTTTACTCAGAACTTTGTTGAAGCACCTTTAGCAGCGATTACAGCCTAGAGTCTTCTTGGGTATGACGCTACAAGCTTGGCACACCTGTATTTGGGGAATTTCTCCCATTCTTCTCTGCAGATCTGTCAGGTTGGATGGGGAGCATCGCGGCACAGCTATTTTCAGGTTTCTCCATGTTTAATGTTTAGTGGTCCTCTGTAGCTCAGCTGGTAGAGCACGGCGCTTGTAACGCCAAGGTAGTGGGTTCGATCCCCGGGACCACCCATACACAAAAAAAAATGTATGCACGCATGACTGTAAGTCGCTTTGGATAAAAGCGTCTGCTAAATGGCATATTATTATTGTTATTATATTAATCAGGTTCAAGTCTGGACTCTGGCTGGGCCACTCAAGGACATTCAGAGACTTGTCCCGAAGCCACTCCTGCGTTGTCTTGGCTGTGTGCTTAGGGTCGTTGTCCTGTTGGAAGGTGAACCTTATCCCCAGTCTGAGGTCCTAAGCACTCTAGAGCAGGTTTTCATCAAGGATCTCTCTATAATTTGCTCCGCTCATCTTTCCCACAATCCTGACTAGTCTCCCAGTACCTTCCGCTGAAAAACATCCCCACAGCATGATGCTGCCACCACCATGCTTCACCGTAGGGATGGAACCAAGTTTCCTCCAGACGTGACGCTTGGTATTCAGGCCAAATAGTTCAATCTTGGTTTCATCAGACCAGAGAATCTTGCTTCTCATGTTCTGAGAGTCCTTTAGGTGCCTTTTGGCAAACTCCAAGCGGGCTGTCATGTGCCTTTTACTGATGAGTGGCTTCCGTCTGGCCACTCTACCATAAAGGCCTCATTGGTGGAGTGCTGCAGAGATGGTTATCCTTCTGGAAGGTTCTCCCATCTCCACAGAGGAACTCTGGAGCTCTGTCAGAGTGACCATCGGGTTCTTGGTCACCTCCCTGACCAAGGCCCTTCTCCACAATTGCTCAGTTTGGCCGGGCGGCCAGCTCTAGGAAGAGTCTTGGTGGTTCCAAACTTCTTCCATTTAAGAATGATGGAGGCCACTGTGTTCTAGGGGACCTTCAATGCTGCAGACATTTGTTGGTACCCTTCCCCAGATACAGTGGGGAGAACAAGTATTTGATACACTGCCGATTCTGCAGGTTTTCCTACTTACAAAGCATGTAGAGGTCTGTAATTTTTATCATAGGTACACTTCAACTGTGAGAGACGGAATCTAAAACAAAAATCCAGAAAATCACATTGTATGATTTTTAAGTAATTAATTTGCATTTTATTGCATGACATAACTATTTGATACATCAGAAAAGCAGAACTTAATATTTGGTACAGAAACCTTTGTTTGCAATTACAGAGATCATACGTTTCCTGTAGGTCTTGACCAGGTTTGCACACACTGCAGCAGGGATCATGGCCCACTCCTCTATACAGACCTTCTCCAGATCCTTCAGGTTTCGGGGCTGTCGCTGGGCAATACGGACTTTCAGCTCCCTCCAAAGATTTTCTATTGGGTTCAGTTCTGGAGACTGGCTAGGCCACTCCAGGACCTTGAGATGCTTCTTACGGAGCCACTCCTTAGTTGCCCTGGCTGTGTGTTTCGGGTCGTTGTCATGCTGGAAGACCCAGCCACGACCCATTTTCAATGCTCTTACTGAGGGAAGGAGGTTGTTGGCCAAGATCTCGCGATACATGGCCCCATCCATCCTCCCCTCAATATGGTGCAGTCGTCCTGTCCCCTTTGCAGAAAAGCATCCCCAAAGAATGATGTTTCCACCTCCATGCTTCACGATTGGGATGGTGTTCTTGGGGTTGTACTCATCCTTCTTCTTCCTCCAAACACGGCGAGTGGAGTTTAGACCAAAAAGCTCTATTTTTGTCTCATCAGACCACATGACCTCCCATTCCTCCTCTGGATCATCCAGATGGTCATTGGCAAACTTCAGACGGGCCTGGACATGCGCTGGCTTGAGCAGGGGGACCTTGCGTGTGCTGCAGGATTTTAATCCATGACGGCGTAGTGTGTTACTAATGGTTTTCTTTGAGACTGTGGTCCCAGCTCTCTTCAGGTCATTGACCAGGTCCTGCCGTGTAGTTCTGGGCGGATCCCTCACCTTCCTCATGATCATTGATGCCCCACGAGGTGAGATCTTGCATGGAGCCCCAGACCGAGGGTGATTGACCGTCATCTTGAACTTCTTCCATTTTCTAATAATTGTGCCAACAGTTGTTGCCTTCTCACCAAGCTGCTTGCCTATTGTCCTGTAGCCCATCCCAGCCTAGTGCAGGTCTACAATTGTATCCCTGATGTCCTTACACAGCTCTCTGGTCTTGGCCATTGTGGAGAGGTTGGAGTCTGTTTGATTGAGTGTGTTGACAGGTGTCTTTTATACAGGTAATGAGTTCAAACAGGTGCAGTTAATACAGGTAATTAGTGGAGAACAGGATGGCTTCTTAAAGAAAAACTAACAGGTCTGTGAGAGACAGAATTCTTACTGGTTGGAAGATGATCAAATACTTATGTCATGCAATAAAATGCAAATGAATTACTTAAAAATCATACAATATGATTTTCTGGATTTTTGTATTAGATTCCGTCTCTCACAGTTGAACTGTACCTATGAAAAACATTACAGACCTCTACATGCTTTGTAAGTAGGAAAACCTGCAAATTTGCCAGTGTATCAAATACTTGTTCTCCCCACTGTGTATATATATATATATATATTTTTTTTTATATATATATTTTTTATACAGACTAGCTCAAAAGTAAGTGCAAATTGACAAAGTATACAATGTGATAAGAAAAAAAGAAAAAGATGCACCCCCCATTTTAATTTGCTCCACGGCTCAGGCGGCCAAGTGGACACTAGGCAGTTTGGCTAGTCTCAGTGGCGAAGAGGAATAACTTGGCATTGTTTATTAATCAGAAACACCTGCAATGTTGGTGGGTGGTAACATTCAAATAAAACCCAGCCCTGAAACGAAACGTAGCTGAAAAGAACTTGTATGTCATATCATAGGAAGAGACACTGCATTCACACGGATTTGCACAAAGTGGGCAGTTTGGATTTGTCACTTCAAGCTAAAATATATTATAATTTGACTAAAACATTTACTTATTGACTTAAATCGTTGTGCAACATCATGGGTAAGCTCTGGCTGTCTTTCAGCTCGAAAAAGTGGATCACAACGGCACAATAAGGAAATATGGGAAACCCAAAATCATTGCAATGACAGGGTCAGAGTACTGAATGGTCTATTGGAAATAGAAGAAAGAGTTAAAGAGTTTTGTTTACCATTCCACTGTCTTCCCCTGCCCATATTGTTCATGGCCCCACACAGCTATCATACCAATCAGGTCAATCCACCCATCAACACACACACCCTCAACCCCCCAAACCCTTACCTGCCGACACCCACAAACACACACACACCAATGTAACCATATACCGATATTTGATCCTCTGCCTTTTCTGCTCCCCAAACAAAAACACACACACCTTCCCCTAGCACCTATCCCCTCCTAGTCCGTACCTTGTCCCTCCTCCAGCCGGTGTCGGCGGTTGATCCGCTGGCGTTTCTCCTCCTGCCGGATCTGGATGTGCTCCTCAATGTTGACTCCTGGGGGGGGAGGGACAGGCACAGCTGAAACACACACCGAAGAGAGAACCAGGAGGAGGAGGAGAGACAGAGACAAGACACAACATGGATGAATGATGGAGAAGTGATGTGTCTATACATGGAATAGAATTAAGTAAACCCTTTGCCTTGAAACTGATATGAGGTCAGTTTACAGTTTCACTAACCTCGAAATCCTAACTGAATCCCACTTTATCTCACTATTGTTTCACATTACTAATTCAGTGTGTCATTCCTCCTAATAGAAAGGCACCTGGCCCAGTTAGAAAATCCTCTCAGAAATGATGGGCTGGTTGGTCTGATGGTGTGATCCAATTACACATTTGTTTTATTCATTGCAGACGTGAGTACAAACGGATGCAATGACGGCAATGTCAGACGGGATTCGTGAAGTGAAACAATAGTGTAACATAGTGTGATTCACTTTTTAATTCCAAGGCTACCGTTTCACCCCCTAATCGTTCAAATTAGGATCGGGGGAGGGTAAACTGAAGGGGCAGCTTCTACCTTGAGCTTTTTTTTTTTTTTTTCTGGGGGAATGGATCAGCTTAATATTGCAGATAGATTGTATCTTCTATCAATGTAATTGTCTGCATCACTTCCAATCCCCCATGTTTATTTTATTTTATATATACTCCCCTTTATTTCTTTTCAACCCCACCATCCTTTCCCTACTTGGAGTAAATTAGTGAACAACAATGCCCAGGCCTCTACTTCCGGTCTATACTTACTATCTCCACCTTATGGACAGAGTTAATTTTACAATAATTCTATTATATATATATATATTTTTTTTTTTTTTTTTTTTTGCTCCTGAACTTCTTCTACTCTCAACCTCTCCGATCATTTTCATGATGTCCATCCGGTTTGCTTCTAAATGCCATATATTTCTAACTGTGCTCTTTCCCAAAAGCTCCCAACATACAACCTATATACTTATTATGGACACAGTATACTTACATTATTAGCTATCTTTGTTATTATTTGTTGTTATTTGTTATTAGTCCCATCCTTCAACTCTATTCAATACCTCCCATCTATCTCTTAACACCATCCATATAGGATTTCTATTTGCCATATATATTTCAACCGTACTGTGATGTTTTACAAAAGTTCTGAACCTTTCTATTCTCATTGCTTCTACAGATTGTGAATTAAAAATAAACATTTTTGCTAAAAGTATTATTATATTATTGATTGATTGACTATGACTTTTCAGATCACCCAGTAATGCTATCTGCAAGGTTAGCTCCAGGTAAATATTGCAATCCTTTAGCCATTCCTGGACCTGTGTCCAAAAACAAGCTACAAATGGACAGAACCAAAACAAATGATCTAATGATTCTGTCTCTTCACAGCAAAATCTGCAGACCTGGGAAGATTGTATCCCCCATATAAATAACATTCTATTGGTAGCAAGAATTGTATATAATAATTTCAATGGAAAGATTCTAATTTTTGAATCCGGTGTCGTTTTGCGTGTCAGTTCATAAACACTATGCCATGGGATCGGTACGTCAAAGATCTCTTCCCAACTATTTTGCAATCTATATGGGACGGCTGTCAATCCTTTGGTCCTTAAGTGAAACTGATATACTTTTTTTATTTATCACAGTTTTCCTTAACCAATTATGTTCTTTAATGCAAGGCCGACAGACAAGTTCCTTACTTTCTCCCCCTTCCACTTTCCTCTTCCACTTTTGCGGTAAGACTGCAATTATTTGGTTGTAATTTTGGGTAGAGCAGACATTTCCATATGTTTTTGTTAGCTGCATGTCTCCACCAGTCCTACCGATGATATCATTTACGAAGATTATACCTTTTTTAAACATTCTGTCAAAAAATAAAGGTTTTTTGTCAATTAGTATATTTGAATTTAACCACAATATTTGTTGCATTATTTGTTCTGTCGTTTCTGGAGGATTAAATTGAAATTGCAACCAACTTTCTATGGCTTGTTTTAGAAATAGTGATATTTGGGAGATTATAAGATATATATTTGAGAGGTTGTAATCTGAATAAAGGAAAAAAGGCCTTTCTTGAACATTGGGTGAGACAATCTTACTAATTTGTTTGAGAACCAGTTCGGATTTAAGTATAACTTTTGTATGACTGAAGCTTTTAGTGATAGGTCTAATGCTTTAATATTTAATAATTTCTGTCCTCCGAATTCATATTCATTATATAAATATGCCCTTTTAATTTTGTCTGGCTTGCCGTTCCAAATAAAATTGAATATTTTTTTCTCATATAATTAAAAAAACTGTTCGCTAGGCGTAGGCAAGACCATAAGCAAATAGGTAAACTAGGATAATACTAAAGAGTTAATCAGGGTGTTTTTTCCACAAATTGACAGGTATTTTCCTTTCCATGGTAGTAAGATCTTATCTATTTTTGCTAACTTTCTATTAAAATGTATTGAAGTGAGATCATTTATTTCCTTTGGGATATGTATTCCGAGTATATCCACATCACCATCAGACCATTTTATTGGTAAACTACATGGTAATGTACATTTTTTATTTTTTTGTGATCCAATACGTAATATAGTACATTTGTCATAATTTGGTTGTAATCCAGAGAGGTTAGAAAATGTATCTAAATCCTCTATGAGGCTGTGGAGGGATTCTAGTTGTGGATTTAAAAGAAAACATTAATCATCAGCGTACAATGACACCTTTGTTTTTAAGCCTTGTATTTCTAATCCTCTGATATTATTATTGGATCTGATTTTAATAGCTAACATCTCAATGGCCACAATAAATAGATATGTCGATAGTGGACAACCTTGTTTCACTCCTCTTGACAGTTTAAAACTTTCTGAGAAATAGCCATTATTTACTATTTTACACCTAGGGTTACTAAACATGATTTTGACCCATTTTATAAGAGATTCTCCAAAATTGAAATGCTCCAGGCATTTATATATAAACCCCAGTCGAACCTTATCAAATTTTCGAAGTCTGCTATGAATAGCAGGCCTGGTTTCCCATATTTTCCATAGTGTTCTATTGTATCCAATACTTGCCTTATATTATATCCAATGTATCTTCCATGTAAAAAGCCTGTCTGATTAGAATGAATAATATCCGACAATACCTTTTTAATTCTATGCGCTATACATTTTGCTAGGATTTTTGCATCACAACACTGAAGTGTAAGGGGCCTCCAATTTTGTAAATGGACTGGATCTTTATATTTTCCACTTGTATCCTGTTTCAGTAATAATGAGATCAGACCTTCTTCTTGAGTGTCAGATAATCTACCATTTACATAGGAGTGGTTAAAACATGCTAATAACGGTCCTCTTAGTATATCAAAAAAGGTTTGGTATACCTCGACTGGTATGCCATCCAACCCTGGAGTTTTCCCGGACTTAAAGTCTTTAATTGCATCCAGAAGTTCCTCCTTTGTAATTTCACCTTCACATGAGTCTTTCTGTGTGGCTGTTAATTTGACATTATCAATAGAAAAAAAAAATCAACAATTAGCTTCAGTTAGAGGAGATGGAGGCGACTGAAAAGAAAACATATGCTTAAAGTACTTTGTTTCTTCCTTCAAAATATAATTTGGTGAATTATGGGTGACTCCGTCAATTGTAACCAGTTTCATTAAGTTCTTTTTGGTAGCATTCCTATGTTGAAGATTAAAAAATAATTTTGTGCATTTTTCCCCATATTCCATCCAGTTTGCTTTATTTTTATAATATATTACACTTGATCTTTCTTGAATAAGTTTCTCCATTTCTTTTTGTTTTTCCTCTAATTTATTCTGAGCCTCTATTTTACAGTTTTTCTTGCCATCTATCTGTTCTGTTAGACTTTCTATTTCCTTTGTTAGTATAAACTCTTTTGACCTAAATTGCTTTTGTTTTCGAGATGAGTACTGAATTGCATGGCCTCTAAAGGCACATTTAAAGGTGTCCCATACAATAAGGGGATTCGCTGTACCTATGTTATGTTGGAAAAAGTCAGTTATAAATTCCTTTGTTCTAATTATAAATAAATTATCATCCAATAGGCTTTGATTAAATTTCCAATATCCTCGCCCACGTGGAAATTCAGTAAGAGTAATGTATATGCCTATTATATGATGGTCCGACCGCATTCTGTCCCCTATCAACACTTTTTTTTTTACTTTTGGTGCCAACGAGAATGAGAAGAAAGAAGTCAAGACCACTAGCTTGATTCAGTCTCCGCCATGTATATCTCACTAGATCAGTATAGTTAAGCCTCCATATATCTACTAGTTCTAATGTATCCATGACATTCACAATTTCCTTAAGAGCATGTGGGTGATTGTTTGTGGTGTGATTTCCTTTCCAGTCCATTGAGCTATTTAAAACAGTATTATAATCCCCCACCATAATAATATTGTCTTGAGTTGCTTGCAGGCTTGATAATGTATTATATATATTGTCAAAGAATTGTGGATCATCATTATTTGGTCCGTAAAGGTTAATGAGCCATATCTGTTTATGGTCCAATAACATATTTAAAATAATCCATCTACCTTGCGTATCTATTTGGATAATTTGCAGATTCGGATCGAAATTACTATTAATTAATATCATCACCCCTTTTTGAATTTCTTTGCCCATGGGAGAAGTATATCCCCCTCCCCCCCCCCATGTTTTTCCCCACGCTACTTCATCTCGAATTTGTTGAATGAGTTTCCTGTATACAATAGATATTATATTCCTTCTCTTTGAGCCATGTAAATATTGTTCTTCTTTTGTTATTATCAGCTAAGCCATTACAATTATAACTGGCTATACTTATTTCACCATACACCATAATTAGATACAAGTTTCAAGTCTATTTATAATTATATATGTTTGTAAATTTACCAATAAAAATAGCGTAATGATTGAGTGTCCATATAGCTGTACCGTGATATTTACATTGCTACGGAGTAACGCTTCAATTGTTCTCCACTAATTCCCCCGCTAAAGCCCATCCCCATCCCAAGTTGAGCCGTCATCCCAGTGATCAGCACCCCACC